CTAAATTTGTTCTAAACATAACCAACAAGTGAATGTCAATGCCTTGGAAGGATGCTCAAGAGAAACTGAACAGCAACAGTCAATGGAGTAGTCTCTGCGGTTTTTGAACTGATCTGGCATCCCCAAATTTTCGAAGGTTACCCACCAATACGCAGTTTTCAGTACCTTTCTAGATATTTGGCAATGGAGAACAGAGGCAGGATGTATCTATAACTGCCTGGGTGTAAAGATTATGTCAATGACTCTCAAATGGTGGGTTGTGTGAGCCACAGTATTCCAGCACGTAGATTGCAGGTGGAGAAGACATTCGCAACACATTTTATTTCTAGTTAAACAATTGGAATCAACAGAAGAATCCAGCACAATTGCTGAAAGGACATACTCCCCACCTTAGACTCAGGAAAGTGGAAGAGGGGATTTCCACAAGTGCTATGCTTATTGTTCTATTCAGACCTCACTTTGTACATCTGGCTGATTCCACTTCAAATATGCTTTGCCTTGGTCCAATACCAAGCCTTGTTTCAGAAAATCCAAGGCTTTCTATGCCTGCCTTCTATGAGGAAATCGTAAATCGGCAACAACTTTCTTTCTGACAGAACTGGATGAAATTTGCAGACATAGCGGACCTTTCTGAGAGGATGGTGCCTGCCAAATTTCAGACAGATAGGTACAGGTGATTTTATGCAAAAGGAGTCTTAAAAGTCTGAGAGAAATTGATTCACTAATCCCCCATGGGTTTGGAGGGGATTTGTATTAAAATGGCATGAGGTGTAGAGGTGTACCTATGCTAAGTATCCTTTCAGAAGGCTAGATGCAAGGGGAGTTGGTCTTTAACATTTTGCGAGGAAGGAATTCACCCCATTTTTGTGGGAGCGGGTAGAAATATAAGAGGTGTCCTTTTGTAAGTAACCTTCTGAAAACAGAGAGTCAGTGTGGTGTAGTGGCTCAGAGCGGTGGACTCGTAATCTGGGGAACCGGGTTCGCGTCTCCGCTCCTCCACATGCAGCTGTTGGGTGACCTTGGGCTAGTCACACTTCTCTGAAGTCTCTCAGCCCCACTCACCTCACAGAGTGTTTGTTGTGGGGGAGGAAGGGAAAGGAGAATGTTAGCCGCTTTGAGACTCCTTCGGGTAGTGATAAAGCGGGATATCAAATCCAAACTCTTCTTCTTCACCACCCCCAACCCACTCCCCGCAAGCAAATGGGAGGGTAGGATTGCTCCTTCAGACTGCCTGACTCTACTGGCATCCTCTGAAGCTTCAAGGCAGACCTGAAGACAGGGCCGGCCCAACCAGGAGGCAAGGTGAGGCAACCGCCTCAGGCTGCAGATTCCATGGGGACAGCAGATCAGGCCTTGAAGGAATGAATCACCTGCCATTGCTGCCTTTGTAGTTGCAGTGTGCTCCTCAGAGGCCAGATCCGCAACCTACTCGGCAGCCCCCCACCCCAAATTCTCCCTCGACAGCAGCCTCTTGGTAAGGGCCCACCCTTGTTCCCAATTTAGATATTTATTTCTCCCCCTTGTTTCTGAAGTACATTGTCACTTGCCCCTTCTTCCCTGGCTGTGTGAGGTGCACCATTTTGTGGTTTGCCTCAGGTGCCAAAAGTTCTTTGGCCAGCCTTGGCTCTGGGAGAAGCCAAATGCATCTTACCTCATACAGAGCCTGAAGCAGCTTGCTTCGGTTTTGGAATCAGGACTTCATCTGAAGCAGACACAACCCTAATTTCTTCTAACAGCAACCAAGAATGCAAATGAACATGCTACAAGCCTCACATGCTTTAACAATATTTGTGGTGTTATTTTTTTTTAGGTTTTAAATATTTTTTTAACATTACAAACATCCATTCAAACAAAATAACACTGATATAAACTTGGGGTTCTCAGAACCCCCAGATTCCCCACCCCCATTTTCAAAATGTACATTTTTAATCCCTAAATTTCTCTAACTTTAATGTAATCCTTTTTAAAAATCTTTTGGTTTTTGCAAATTAAAATGTTATAAAAATCCTGCTAATATCTTTAAGTATTTACAATGTTCTTTAATAATGTATTTTTTCCATTCTGTATTAAATTTGTTGTCCTCTTGGTGTCTAACTCTTCCAGGCATCTTTGCCATTTCAGTGTATTCCATCGTCTTCATAATCCTCTCTTCTTTAGTTGATGTTTTCTTTTCCTTCCATCCCTGGGCGTAAAGCATTCTCTCAGCTGTCATCATATACATCAACGGTCTTTTCAGATCCTTTAGTAATTCTTCTATTATATCTATTAAAAAGGCTTCTGGTTTTTTAACAAAAGTTATCTTAAACATTTTTTTCAATTCGTTATATATCATTTCCCAGAATGCCTTTGCCTTTTTGCACGTCCACCACATGTGGTAGAATGCTTTAACAATCTTTGAATGGAGGAGGTACATTTCAGAGACAAAAGGAAATGTATGTGATTGACAGCAAGTCTCCTGGCCAATATCCTTTCCAGCCTTATGTTACCTGAACTGGACAAGCTAAGGGGGGCCTATCATACAAAGCAGCCCCTCTGCTACTAAGTTAAAGGGTAAAGGGACCCCTGACCATTAGGTCCAGTCTCACTTTATTGGCCGAGGGAGTCGGCGTACACCTTCCGGGTCATGTGGCCAGCATGACTAAGCTGCTTCTGGTGAACCAGAGTAGCGCACGGAAATGCCGTTTACCTTCCCGCTGGAGCGGTACCTATTTATCTACTTGCACTTTGATGTGCTTTCGAACTGCTAGGTTGGCAGGAGCAGGGACTGAGCAACAGGAGCTCACTCCGTCGCGGGGATTCGAACCGCCGACCTTCCGATCGGCAAGCCCTAGGCTCTGTGGTTTAACTCACAGCACCATCTAATAGAATAAAGCAAGAGAGAAGTTGGGAATGTACAAGGAGGAAGGGTGGTTATTATTCAAAAAACACCCAAAAGGTTCCTTGTGGTGTACTTCTGATTTCCTTGCAAACTTCTGTCACACAGCAGAGCCTGAGAACGTTGGCAAATAAATAAAAAAAAGAACACCCTTAAAGGAAGTGTGAGAAGATTAATTTTTGCATGTGCCAACCTTAAAAAAACTTGTGGAGAGTTCAGTAGCATAACTAAGAAGCAGGATCAGGATTTAATTGAGGAAATTGTGATTTAGAATGAAAGGAGGCTGGATTTATAAATAACAATCCCATATAATCTGATACATGCTTATCTCAACTACCTACACTTCCTAAGATTAAAAGATTAGGCTGCAAATAACGCAAGAATGGGATTTCTTACAAGAAGTTTGCTAGGGTGCTACCTAGCCAACTTTCAGCATGTTTAGGGTCCGCTGATGCAAGAGAATGGGAGAAGCAAGTGCAAAGGTTAAATGGGTCTTTCACCTCCTTGTAGCCATTGTGTGACTGAACAGAAGTATTCTAGTTTCATCTTGTCCAAGACTCTAAAACTCTGAGAAATAACACTTGGTCAGGGAAGTAGCTCAGGGGAAGGGCCGTAGCTCAGGGATAATGCATCTGCTTTGCAGGCAAGCAAACTCTTTTGATGAGAGTGAGCAATCATTGTTTCTGTTTATAATGTCGACGCTTCATTCCAAAGTAGCTGGCAAGCTTGGGTCTTGATTTCTGTGCTACATACAAAACTTTCCCCTTTATGCTCCGCATTACCGTAATTATTCTACCCTTTGTTTGTTAATGATCTCATAAAGTCCCTAATGGAAACTGGAATTCCCACTTCAGCTGTAATAAAACATTAGAAGTTGGGGACAAAAATAAAATCCCTTTTTTTGTCTCGAGTGTAAATATAAAAAGGGTGGTTAAAAAGTTTTATAAGTAACTAATCCGTTTGAAGTGAATCTTGAATGTGGACCCAGAGATGACAGCTTTTTCCAGTTGTTGTAGGAAGTTAAGGAAGAGGTACTTCCTAATTTGTAGCAGGAGCCAAGCCCTTTTGGCCACCCTATATTTTTGGGTAGGGGCTGGGGCCACCTGATGTCCCCAAAGGATAGAGCCAAATTTGGCGTGCCCCCAGAGGCTAGTTCCTCCTCCTCCACTGACATGTATACGCACAGCTTCAGGCTTGATGAACACGATGGGCTCAATTTTTAAAAACAAAATTAAAACTGGCATCCTGAAATTCACGAGATGAAAAGTCCACATGAGCAGCAAATGTTAAAGAAAATTTGGAATTAAATATCTGAAATGCCTCTGAAGCACCATTTGCATGCATAACTGTATGGTGAACCCCAATAAAAGAAAAACACTAATCAATGTAAGATATATATTTTAATAACCTTGCTGAACAAGGTCTATGTACTATTCTGTTTAGAACAGTGTGCCAGATAGGTCTAGGAGCTCATAAGCAGAATATGAAGGCAATCAACACTCCCCTTTCTTATAGTGTGAATGCTTTTTGAATATTAATAGAATATTTCACATAAATCATATTTAAATGCTGGATTTTTTATTTAAAAAACTGGAACATTTGGTACTGAGGATTTTTTATACACCTAAGTATCGGCCAATTTACATCTTCAAGAAAAATAAGGCAGCCCAGTGCCAACATGTAAAACTGGTCAGAAGTGCTGCACATTCTACAACTCTCACTGCGAACACTAAAGGTAGAAAAACCTGGAGGCTGGGACTGTTTTCTCAGTACTGTGCTGTTTCTAATATCTAGAGCATGGCTGGGTTAATAAACACAGCCCAGAAGAGTGACTCATCGACAAGCCAAGAAAAGAGGTGATGAAATCAAGACACGCTTAATGAAAAACTTGACATGTAGCAGACTAAAAACACACACTATCTTGTTCATCTGATTATTGCATAAAGTGAGGTCCCAACCAAAGAGTGACAACTTAAGTTGACAGAATATGTGCAGCTTGCAGACTTAACATATAGAATAAGAGAACAAGAAAAACATACATTTAGAGAAGAATGGAAAATGTTTATTGAATATGTGGGAAACAGCTTGCAGCATTAAGATAAATTCAACATTGTAAATAAGTTAGGGTAGATGTAATAATGGAACACTGAATGGTATAGTTTTGGTAAAATATGCAGGGATTTATAATATGTAATATATATAATATGTAAAATGAACCATGGAAAGAGAAAGGAAGTCACTGATATCTTAAGGATGTAAAAAATGCAAAAAAAATGAGCACAGTCATCCCTCGGGTTGAATGTGCTTCGGGATGAGCGCATTCTAGTTGCGCTCCGCGGCAACCCGGAAGTAACAGAGCGTGTTACTTCCGGGTTTCGCCGCTTGCGCATGCACAGACGCTCAAAATGACATCACGTGCATGCGCAGAAGCAGCGAAACGCGACATGTGCGTGCGCAGACGTGCTGTCGCTGCTTACGTTTGCTTCTAGATGTGAATGGGGCTCCAGAACGGATCCCGTTCGCATCTAGAGGTACCACTGTACTTTAAATTGTAAAACAGAAAATTAAAGAAAACTTTTAGATATAAATGAATATTGCATAAACATAGATGTTACTTGCAGCAAAGTTTCAAAACTTTTTTAAAAAATCACCAACATTTTGTTTGTCATTTGAACCTATACATGTCATACAAAATATGAGTGTCAAGCACGCTTTGGGGGAAAATTCAGGACATCATACTTGAATGAATATCTTGGTACAAAAGGCCACACTGTGCACCAAGGTATTATATTACAATATTCCTTATACCTATAACGAGTCTCTAGCTTCTCAGTGGAGGCCATCATCTGCTGCAATGCTATCTCTAGGTTCAGTGTTTTACCTAACTCAGGGAGGTGAATGCAATGTTTGCCTCCAGCTCCTGATGACCTCATCTTGGGGGGGGGGGAGGTTTTCACTTCTCTCCCAGTAGTCTTGCTGACTGAAACCTGTTTACGTCGCCCCATAAAACATAATGAGAACCTTTGTGAATCGGGTCTACTCCTGCATGCGCAGCCCTGCCCTCGATTCCGATTCTTGGTGATGCTACGGGTAGGATGCTAGAGAACACAAAGCAAAGATGGGACGAAAAGGTCTCTGGTGTGTGGACAGTCTGTTTACAAGCGTGAAAACAAAGGTAAGAGGTGGGCCTCGTCAAAGCAAGTCACCAGCAACCCACTAAATAAAAGGTAGCGCCTGTACCCTCGAGAGAAATTTGATTTTGGACTCAAGGGCAAATCAGAATCTTATACATGAATTATGTTAAATTCTCTTAAGCTGGTTCTGCACGATGGGCTTATCCACATACACAGGTCCACACTTTAAAGCACCGTGTCCTAAGCTTTGTGAGCAAAAACCTACTCTTCAGCACTCAGTTGGAGCAAATGGCAATTTGGGATTTCTGTGGATTGCCATTTGCTCTGATACAGCTTTAAAGAGCAGGTTTTCATGGGGACAGCTCCAGAGCAAACAGAAACAAAAGCAGGGGTACTCGGACATGGAGAATAATAAATAATAATCCCCAGCCACTGTAGACAGCTCCCAACAGAATATTAAAAATGCGATAAAACATCAAACAATTAAAACTTTCCTAAACAAGGTTACCTTCAGATGTCTTCTAAAAGTCAGATAGTTTATTTCCTTGACATCTGATAGGAGTGTATTCCACAGGGTGGGTGCCACTACCGAGAAGGCCCTCTGCCTGGTTCCCTATAACCTCACTTCTCGCAGTGAGTCAACCGCCAGAAGGCCCTTGGAGCTGGACCTCAGTGTCCGGGCTGAATGATGGGGGTGGAGACGCTCCTTTAGGTATACTGGGCCATTTAGGGCTGGGAAATGCAAAGGAAAGGTAAATGTGGATAAGCCCTATGTGTATTTATACTTTGGGCCCATTCACACTGGTATTTTATTATTGGTGTATTCTAATATGCATTTTTTATACAATAACAGTCCATTAAAGCCTGGATAGCTCAATTGGTTAGAGGGTAGTGCTGATAATGTGAAGGTTGCAGGTTTGATCCCTGTATGGGACAACTGCATATTCCTGCATTGCAGGGGGTTGGAGTAAATGATCCTCAGGGTCCCTTCCAACTCCACAATTCTTTGACCAGCAATAGCTTTATTCTGCTTTAGTTCATTCTGCAATGCTTCCTCGGAGCTATCACATTACTGCTGTCTGGAGGGGCTACAGCAAAACAAAAGTGGGACGAAAACCAACCAAAACATTACTGGTGCAAAAAGCTATAGAATTTCGATAGGGATATTCACCGATTGGAAATGTAAATGTGCAACCACCTCAAAATCTTTGAAGGAACAAGCATTATCGAAAGTGGGATCGCACGTGGGTGGCCCAATAGCACTATGAGCACAAATAATCACAAACCCTGCTGCCTATAAAGCTTGTGAGACTGGTCACTGCAGATTGCTGGATAAAAAGCAAGATATCTGACCTGTAATGGCAGCTATGATGTTCTCATTTTCAAGACACAGCTGGTGTTCCTTAGATCTCATTATGCATTAAGGGTTTTCTAAAAGCTGGCTACGGTGGCAGCCAAATATTTCAAAAGCAACGGGAACACTTATAATAGGTACCTAATAAGTGCACAGATGCTGGCTTAATTTAATTTAAGAAGGTACGATTTGTGTAATGAATACAATAGCTATGTGTAGCAGCAAACCAAAAGGCCTGAAGGTTGTAACTGCCCCCGTTCTTTAGAGATGTAAAATGGTCCAACAACAAAAATAAAGCAGTCTGTTATTAGGAGAAGGCCTCCACTGATGAAAAACAAATTCTAGTCTTATTTTCTATCATCCAATTGTGTAACTAACTGGGTCTCTTTAAGAATAAAATAATGGGTCATACTACAAACTCTTTTGTCAATGGGATTGCTGCTGAAGAAAAGATTTGAGGAGCACAGATTTTGTCCCTCTGGCAGAAGCAAGTACTATTTCTTTTACAAAAAATAAATAAATAAATTCCACAATGCTGCAAAAGAAATCTTTTATTAGCTGATGGTTATGAAAAAGCCCCATTTACCAAACAAATAAACCTCAATTCAACTCCAGATAGATTCTCTGTGTTGTACCTGGATGTGAAAAACCTTTTGACTGTTGTGCTGAAATGAAAAGAGATCCACAGCCTTGGTGACCTAAAACTGAGAACACTCTGTTCCCACTTCCTAGTCAAGCAATTTTAGGGAATGCTGGAGCGTTCCAGCTGAGTCAGCTTAGAAGCTGGCTTTAGTAAATACCTGTTTCTTAAAACAAACAAACATTAGATTTCAAGGAAAACACTGAAAATATACTGCAGTGGTGCTGAAATGTTTTCCTCTCAAATGATAATAACTTGGGTGTTGTTGACATTTTTCTTATTTTCACAGAAACTCCCAAGTATTCAGGAAGAAAAATCCCTATGTAGCCCTAAATGTCATTTCTGTAACATCAAGACTTGGACATTGAGGCAATAGTATTATGACTTCTCCCAATCTCCCAAGGTGCTGTGTCTCTCCAATAGACAGATGGTGACACAGTACATCGCATCTCATCTCGCAGAGTTAATGCCGCAGCCGAAGCAGTTTGGAGGACAGAAAACTGATCCTGATAGCAACAGGAGAAGGGCTTTCCTGAGCCACTGGTTCAAATCCCACAGCATCCCGAGCAGAAATAGATTTCAGGCTGAGGGAGTCGGCGTTAGTCCACAGATAGCTTTCCGGGTCATGTGGCCAGAATAACTAAACCAATTCTGGCGCAACGGAACACCATGACAGAAACCAGAGTGCACAGAAACACCGTTTACCTTCCCGCCACAGTGGTACCTATTTATCTACTTGCACTTTTGGCATACTTTCAAACTGCTAGGTTGGCAGGAGCTGGGACCGAGCAACGGGAGCTCACTCCATCACAGGGATTCGAACCACCGTCCTTCTGATTGGCAAACTCAAGAGGCTCAGTGGTTTAGACCAGAGTGCCACCCGTGGCCCATAGTTGCTTTTGACTAGACTTAACCATCCAGGGGTCCTTTACCTTTTTTTCTTTTTACCAGTGGATGGGGAGATGTTTGCAAGTAGAACCCACAAGTGAAAGAAAGCCTTCTTTACCCAGAAAGGCTCAACACCTTATAGGGGGCCAATGATTCCTTATATGCAGTGCTAGTATCATTGCACTCAACAAATGGGGGGAGGGAGCTTTTGCACACAACAGCTTCAAGCACATATGAGGCAGACCTGAGACTGCCTGGTAACTCATTAGGAAAGAACGCATAGGACGTACAACACAATATTGCAGTGTGATGTGCCTGGGCAAAGTTCCATCGTCAGCCAAGACACTACATTCTCCCTTTATTTACTAATATTATGTTCTACACAACAGACACTCAATATTATGTGGCCACTGAGGATGCTCAGTCCTTTTTGAGCAGGGAGACTGCCCCCTTAGAAAGTGTGCACAGGTGTTCCTGCAAACTATGGGTCTCCTCTGAGCATGCCAATTCCTTCCTCCCGTTTTTCAGCTTCTGTTGTTTTGGACACAGTCCTGCTGGAACTCATCGGCTGAGTTCACCATTAGTGGGAATGATGCTGGAAAAGGTAACAAACGAAGGCGAGATCCAACTAGCAACAATAACCTTAAAAAAAGAAAGAAAAGCTCAACTCCTGGCCGTGGACTTCCGGAAATATCTGGGAAGAACCAGACACTTCACCAGTGCATTGCTGAAACCAACAAGCTGGAGAGGTAATCATCTGTATTTTTAATGAAGATTTTATACTGTTCTGTGCAAACCATTTAGAAGTTTTTGTTGATTAAATGGGACAAAAGGCTTGCTAAATAAATAAAATCTGAGAAAAAATGCCACAGATTCCCTTAAGACAGTAGACTGAGAGTGTGAAAAGTGAAAGCATGAGACACTTTTTATCGGAGGATATTCTGAAAGTTAGCTGTCAGCCAGGATCCAATACCTGAATGAAGACCCGGAGAAAACTCCTCAAAGCAACTTGTAGGAGGGCCAAAATGCACAAAGACCAAATACCTCGTTTTCAAAAGGCTTACAAAGCACCAGCCATGTGCTATGGTTTGTAAAATGCTTTAGATTTTTCCACTTTTGCAGGGTTAGGCAGACAGCAAACTCCACCCCCCCACCCCCCCGCTGGCAGATTTATTAAGCCTTTCAAGAGCTGACATTTGGGACTGTTGTGCTGCAGCTGGATTAGTGGGTCACAAGATAAGTACGCTTCCTCTGCACAGTCTATATTGCAACTGAAGGAAGAGCACACAAATCACCCCTCTTTAAGCAGGGCAAATCCATGAATCCTGCAACTGAGTTCAACGCACAAAGCCTGAAACATTTACATCTGTCTGAATCTAGTGCAGATGTGAGCAATATTTCAGTGCACATGGGCTCGGCAGAGCAACCGTACATTATACCAGGGGATGAGGAAGGCTGTTGTATCCTATACTTGCTCTGTCTGGCAGAGGAGGAAACATGCACAACCAGAAAATCCCAAAATGGCAGAATGACATAGACGCATCAACACTACACCCCTGTTGGGCAGAGCCAGTGATTATATAACACAGAAGCACAGGGAACCGATCCATGCAGGCTATATGCCAAGGACATGTCTGTCACAATGCTACACGCTACAGACATGGAAGACGCACAAAGAGCCCAAAAGAAACTGTGGCCTCAGCAAAGCAAACTCCTTAGTGTGCTATAACAAAGCACAAGCAAGCATTCACCCCTAGAGTGGCTGGTTTGATTCCCAACCCCCCAACAAGACATAGGTTTACCTCCTACTCTAATGCAAGAAAGCATAAACAGGCATTCGCAAAATCCCATCTTTCAAATCTACACAGGGGGAACATCCTCCTGGTCCACATTAGTCGTTGTTCGCTCAAAGGCTTGCAAGGGCATAAGCAAGACTGGAGAATGGCTAGCAGAGTCGGAGGGACACACAAATGAATGCTCACATTGTCGCAACTGGCACAAATGCCATCAAGAAGAAAATGCCTGATATTGCCATGAAAGAATCAAGGCAGGGTGGGGGGTGGGGAGCAGGTGTGTGCAAGTGAAATGGATTAAGAGCACAGCCACCAAACGGAAGCATCTTCACGAAGTGCCTACTGGACTGGGAATTCTACGGAATGAATTATCCCATAACCAGTGGGGGGAGGAGGCCAGAAGTGGGAAGGATATAGAAAAGTCTTAAGGACAGCTCGTGTCGGCCAGAGCTGTGAAGGCAATGCATGCTCCATCTCCCAACTGGCAGAGAGACGGGAAGCCAGAGAGGAACAAAAATGGTAAAAGGACAACTCAAGCCTGGCCCACCCCACCAGTGCAATGCAACCCAGTCACCAACCTGAGCTACGATTCACACAGGAGCGTATCGATGGCTGGGGATGAGAATGATGCACAGCAGGTGGGGCAGGGAGGCTGCATGAACTGGCACATAAGGCAGGTGACAACAGCACACCTGCCACTAGAGAATGACACAGTATAGCCTCCCCACTCTGTGTTTGGCTGGACAAGCCTTATAGATCTCACAGGCGACAATTACTCTTCTGAAAACAATGGTATATATGGAGAAAGTTGCTGTTTTAGGTATCCATGGCCTAAACATTTTAGAGCTTTAAGGGTCAATATAAAGACATCAGACTGGGCTTATAAAACATGGGCACTCACTTCCTTCAAGACACGTGTTGTGTAATATTTACGATTCGCTCCTGATATGAGTCTTACTGCTAGATGTTAGGTCAGGGGTAGTCAACCCTTTTATACCTACCACCCACTAATGCATCTTTCTTGATGGTAAAATTTCCTTACCGCCCACCAGTGCTCGATGGAAGGAGGATTCTGCTTCTGCTGTAGAACCCCCTACCGCCCACCTAGAATCCTGAAACGCCCACTAGTGGGCGGTAGGGACAAGGTTGACAACCCTTGTGTTAGGCGAACATGCTCATTTCTTATTGGGATATCACAAGCACGTTTCGTCTTATATCACATATAAAATGCTTAACATATTTCCTGGGCAGCATGTAACACCAGATGTCAACAGCATCTGGCGAAATGAATGCTAATGTATGACAAATAAAAAGATTTGTGGCCAGCAAAGCAAACTCGATTAAGATGGAACCTTTTGCTCAGTCAAAAATCCTGGCATAGCATTTGGTGCTATGACTAAAACCAAATCAAATTTTGGCATTAATTCCAGCAATTTTGGTCAATATATTAATTTTTTTAAATTACAGATTTATTTTGAAGGAATGTGCAGAAGTTATTGTGTGGCTTAGCTGTTCTTGGCTGACTCATTTGTATCTATAACCAGTGCTATTTTTCTAGAAAAATAGGTGCCAGAATGCACCATGAACAACTCCCTTGTTCTCTTATAATGGCAATGGCGCCCACCTGAGAGGTTCTGGAACTGAGTTCCAGATGAAAAAAAAGCCCTGCCTATAAGCTGCCTCCTTGCCATCTGAAGATAAGGTAGGAAAACCAGCACAAAGAGCTGAAAGAATCCATGGGGTTCAAAGCATGCAATAAAGAAGCCACACTGTTCATCAGGGATGCCATGGTTCTCATACCAATGATGGCTGCAGAAAGATTCCACACATTCACTGAATCAATGGCTAAGTACTTGAGGCAGGACATAAATGGACTTGACAAGACTAATTCTGTAACTGGAGCTTAAGACAACAGTAGCATTTGCAGAGGGAGAGCATATCCCTTCTGATATAAATATTGACATGGGGAATGTTGGTATGCCCTTCTTCAGACATACTGAACAAAGCAGGAGTAATAACCATGTGGCATCAACCGGGACTGTTAGCAGCAGCTGTTCCACCCACAATCTGGACTGTATTTTACCCTCGGCAGAGCAACGCAGCGTAAGATAGGTATGTTATGCTTCCTCCTTGTTCAGAGAACACTTGGGAGGTTATCATTAGTACTTTGTGCCATCCTCACATAGTCAAGCTGATCCTATTGTCTCGGGGGCTTTTGGCGTCTCGTTTATGACCCTTTTCTTAAGCTCAGCCAACACACTTATGAATCTCGTTTTGTTGGGTCATCTGGCCAAGGACTGACAACCAGTTGGGGGGATACAGCGCAGAGGTGACCTTTCTAGGCAACAAGTTGCCCACAAGGAGAGAGTGAATTTTGCATCCATCAGCAGCTTAGAATCCTTGGTTGCTGAAAGTTACCTGATACCCCAGGACAGGATTCTAGACCGCAGTGGGAGAAATCTAACTTGATACTCCCATCGCTCCCTTCTCTAGCTAAGACCAGAACAGGGAGAAGAAAGTCAGTACCTACTATTTAGGTGTTCTGATTCAAGACAAATGGTACTTGTGGATCCATCTAAGCATGTTTAACTAAGCATTCAAAAGATGCAATGTGAAAATGTCAGCTGCAAACATCAAGTTCTAAAAACGTAGCCCTTTTGGAAGATTAACTTTTTCTTACTGTTCTTACTGTTAATGGTGGTCTTGATTTTAGACTGCTGCATGCAAGGAAAAACCAACAGTAACCCGAGCTGGAAGGCAGAATACCTAGTAGCAAGTATAAAAATCATACTAACTTGCTGAAATGAGCTTTCCCATCCCCGCATCCGGCCAGCAATGAAAATCGCTTAGAAGTGTTTCAGCCAGAAGAGCTTAATTATGGAACGTGCCTGGCAAACTTTCAGAAATATGGTACCATTAAACAAGAAAAAGAAAAGCAAGTGTTGGTCTGTTTTAATACACAAATATACATAAGATGCCTCATGGTTATACAATATTTGTTTAGGAATTTGTCCAATATCCAGGGGGGAAGGTAACACCAGTAACAGGTTATAAGATAAGCCTTTCCCTCACACCATCACAGTACAGTGCCTATGTATATTTATGGGGCACAAAAATGAAAAATAAGACATCAAAAGAGAGCAAACATTTTGAATGGCAATGAGTCTGTGAATTATTCTTTATAAAATAATTATAGAAGAGTAGGCCTGAAACAAGATGCTCCTGTTCATCATTCCATTCACTGAGCCATCCCCTTTGCCAAGATATTCCATTCCATTTCCCATCAAACTTGACTTTCTCTTCCCCATATCCCTAAGCAGTCACTCTGTACTCATTTGCTTGTTTGGAGGTTGGTGGGTTTTTAATAAAAACTCCCTTAGGGTCTCCCCCCCTCCCCAAGAAACATTGTTTCTTCCTTCTGCAATCCTTTAGATTCTTCCTAAACCTGCCGATATCTCCTTCTTGCATGTGGCCAGTGGCAGTTTGGCTACATAAAAAATGGCGCTCACACTCTGAACATTGGAAATAGAGGGAATAATTGTGCTCAATAGCAACCTTCCTGGAGTTAATAGAAAAAAATCCATGCAGGGAAATCTGAATTTCAAATGAGCCCTCAAAAAAGATCAGCGTTATTTGGAGTAGTGATGTATGCATAAAGCAAAAAATAAATAAATAAAATGGCACAATACAAGGAGTCACATGAAACTTAGCTCAAAGTAATCATACACACAGTTTGACTGTCAGTACAACTTATTTAAATGAGAGGGATTTAAGTACTGTACATGCTTAACTGTTCTACTGACATAAATCAGACCGAAAAGTGCTCACTGATTTCAAGATATAAAGATCACAATCTGGCAGAGTCATTGATTTCAATTAGAACTAAATGCTCACAAGTGAACTGGATTATGACTACAATCCTGTGAATGAACATGTTTTAGCCTATGGCCCAGTTCAGATGTCACATTGCAATCCTAGCTTGGGATACCTTTCATTGTCTGCCTTATTCTTCATCTCCAGGTTTCTTTTACCCACGTTACCATGATGTCTGCAAACTATGCTTAACATTAACTTAAAAACCTTTATTTGAAAGCATGCAAGTCATGCTTCAGAGAAGAGCGCTAACAAAAACCGCCAGGTTCACAACCATGCTGATTTCAATCCTACAGTTTGCCCTTGAGCACAGATTTTTTCTTTCACAAATTGCCAGTTGTTGGTGGGGCAAATCGGATCAGGAGCGTGGCACAGGGGTAGGAGTTTTAAACTCTCACTGTAGTCCCAAAACAGATCAGGGAGTCCAACTCCACCCAAGGAAAAGGGGCCTGACACCCCCCCACGCAAGCTGCAGCATGCAGGTCCTGCATCATATGGGACCACAGCAGAGAGCAAAGGCTTAAAACCTTCTACAACCCCAACCACCCCACTCAACCTGGAGTTATGATCCACATCAGGGCCCACCGACATGCTGTGAATTTGTAAAAAGCTGGAAATGGAAGTGAGATTGGCAAAAGAGGAAGAGGGAGAGTAGGGTAAGACGCATAAGTCTGTAATACATTCCCAATCCTCCAAACTATGATTCGGATCGTCATCTGAATTAAATCTGTAACTTATACAATTGTGTGTTACACACACATACATTGTTTTATGTATATATGTATGTGTGTGTATTGGATATTCAGTGCTTCAATTATTTTTAAGCTGTACGTAAGCAATAATTAATATAACCAAGATATAGACACACCTAGCTTTATAATAATTGTATAGTTACCCACCCACCTACTCTGTGACAAGCACACAAGCCCTATATCTTCAGTACGACATAAGATAATCAAATAAATCAGAAAACACCAGTCATTTCCTTAAACCATTCATTAGACACCACACCTACAGTTCTAAAGTGGTTATTCAAAATTATAGTGCACAGGTCTTCCAGTTCTTTGCCATTTCCTCTCTATAAAATATTAACTGCATAAATCTTGCTTCACCGTTCTCATGGCCATTATACAGGTGTTGTAAATTTTATAATTCATTGTTTTACTGTCTCATGTTGCAGCAGAGGCAAGACTACTATGCTCCTTAATGACAGCAGCAGGAATTCTGCATTTCTTTGCTTTCTTGATATTTACCTTCTCCTAATTGCATCACTTATGTGGCGTTAATAGCATCCCTGCTACTAAATTTTATGGTTTTACAAAGGACTGGTATAAATGACACCATTTTGAGATAATACATTATCTCATTAATCCATTATCTGTATTAAGTATTATTCCGCATAGAAACAGGCTATCAGTTGAGACATTCTTTACACCTCAGTCTCTCATTCTTATCACAAATACTCTCTAGCTAGGTTGTCTAGTGATGCTGAATTTCTCCACAATCAGCAGGCAAGCAATTACTAAAGCACAAGGTTATCCAGCAATTCCCTTCCCTATGCCAAGGATGTCTCCAACGTCTATTCACAAGCCCCTTCTTAATGGTAAGGAAAACATTCCTGATTGCAGGTCCAGCTAAGATTACTACTTTCCTACTTGATGGTTTAGAAATAAATTCTTCATTACTTGTCCCTTATTTAATCAACTTTAGTTTGGGGTGGTGGGAGATGTTGAATTTCCGGTTTCTTCCAAAAGAGCATATTAAAGGAAATAAGGAGGTGGGGGATAACAGAAAGGCCACTGAATCTTCTTGTGAGCATTCCCTTGTTGCGAGTGCTTTTTGGCAACTTTTTACCCAAACCTGAAGTGGCACCCATAAAAGCTGCCACGTGAAACTCTGGCTATATGTGCAGTTCACGCGCATTCACATGTGTCCCTTTGTTGGATCGTGGCCAAACGCTCTGGGAACTATCCAACTAAGTCCTACTTAAAAGGATAACCTATGAAATCAGTAGATCAAATCTGAGCTTGACTAATGTTGGATATCACCCTCTGGCTTTACTGCAAAGCAGTTCCTAACTCTGAATAAAATTATTTAGTGTATCTCTTGGGCAGGAGAAGATAAGACTGCTTTATATTTCAGACCCTATAAAGTAATATGTTCCACCTTCTACAATTCTCCATTGTCCCATTCCCATTTATATTTATATTACACGTCATTACTTGTGTTATTCTTTATTTACACGATGAAATCCATAATTTATTACCATAAAATATCAGTCATGCTCTATTACGAAAAGTATTTAATATACAGTTTCAGTTAGATACATTATGCATCAAAATATTATGACTAATTGTTACGGACTATTTTTATGTACAGCTAAATGAATGCTCCATTTCACTTTCAGGGATACTTTTCCCAACACAATGTGACTGATTACACATAGCATGAAGATAGTAATTTGATCACCCTGCAGTGTTAAGAGCTAAATCTTACTAAAACTAAAACAACAGCATAACGGTTTGGGCTATTGTGCTGAAAGATAATGGGAGTGGTTGGGAGGTCATGATGGCAGAAAGGATTTGGGGCAAATTCTCAGTTTCTATAGGGAGCATAGCTGCGCAAGAACCAGCCAAACAACTCCACTGTTAGAAATAGAGATAGAAAAGCTATCTGCCACATGGCTGCTGGAACTGAGGTTATGAGCACTAAAAGAGAATGGCTAGTCGTCTCCCTCTCAGTTTAGCGGCACTTTCTATTATTAATTATTTTAACACATGAACTAATACACAATTCACACCAGTGACACAGTGTTAACGTCACATTTTTAATAGCAATTCTTAATTAGACACCACAAACATAAATGAGGCACAGCCCCTGCAATAGTGGCCCAAACCGCAAGTCATTTGAATAAGTAATATTTACAAATACGTGGGTGTGTGTTATGTAAAATATTGTGCTAGATTTGAACTTACATGTTTGGGGTGGGGAGGGGAGGCAAAGTAGCACTTTGGAAGGCAGCAGCCAGCGATCTTACTTTAGAGTCGGTTCTCCTCCTGCAAGATTAAAATCTTGAATCTCAAGTCTCTGTGCATGGCACCAAGATTTCTCAAATCAGACTATTCCTACTCACAAAGTGCGCCTGGCTGATTTTGAGCGCTGGCTGAGACTTGCTGCTTTTGGAGTGGCAGTAATTATTTGAATTATGATACCCCAGGCAGCAGCCTAGTCCTTATGTATGATTGAACCTTACTGTCTACATTAAAACCTAAACCAGGAAGGGGAGACCTCAGGCGCAGGGGCCAAATGCAGCCCTCCATAACTCTCTGTCTGGTCCCTGGGATTCTCCCTAGGCATCACACACCCCTAGGCTTTACACCCTCCTTGAACGAATCATAGAGAGTTGGAAGGGACCCAAGGGTCATCTACTCCAACCCCCTGCAATGCAGGAATCTCAGCTAAAACATCCATGTCAGATGGCCACCCAACCTCTGTTTAAAATCGTCCAAGGAAGGAGAGTCCACCACCTCTCGTGGGAGTCTGTTCCATTCCCAAACAGCTCTTACTGTCAAAAGGTTTTTCCGAACATTTAGTCAGAATCTCCTTTCTTGTAAATTGAAATCATTGCTCATAGAATTGTAGAGTTGGAAGGGACCATAAGGGTCATCTAGTCCAACCCCCTGCAACGCAGAAATCTTTTTCCCCAACATGGGACTCGAACCCAGCGATTAAGAGTCTCACACTGAATGCTTTTGTGTGTGTCATCAAACTGTGACAATGCCTCTCGCTTGCCTGGATGAAAAGTGTGGAGTGCATTTGTGCAGAAACATCTGGCCTTGTGCAGCTGGAATGCAATCTACTGTACAGAGGCAAGAGTCCTACCCACTGTTCTGCTCATTCTGCATGACCACATCCGCTTTCGCCTCTGGCCCTGCCCATCCCTGGCCTGCGGGCCACAGCAGATTGCTCACCAGAGAATAGGGCTGCCAGGCTGAAAAGACATCCCCATGCATTGCCAACCTTTATTTGGTAAGGGAGTCGGAGAAAGCCATTGAAAAGCTTTGACACGAGAATAACTACTAATTGAATAATATATGTGATTGTTATTTATATTACCTGGCTGAATAATTACCAGATGAATAATTAACTCAAGCCAGTTTGTCCACGACATTAAAAAAAATGTGCAGCAACCCATGAAGCCAGAACAATATAGGCAAACACCCATGGCAGCACGGCACGTGCAAACAAATGCAGAGGCATGTCACACAAAACTGCGATAATAATAATAATAATAATAATAATAATAATAATAATAATAATAACAACTTATTATTTGTACCCCGCCCATCTGGCTGGGTTTCCCCAGCCACTCTGGGCGGCTTCCACAAAGACCAAAAATACACTAAGATGTCACACATTAAAAACTTCCCTGAACAGGGCTGCCTTCAGATGTCATTCAGAAATGTCAGGTAGTTGTTTATCGCTTTGACATCTGATGGGAGGGTGTTCCAAAGGGCAGGCGCCACTACCGAGAAGGCCCTCTGCCTGGTTCCCTGTAGCTTTGCTTCTCGCAATGAGGGAACCGCCAGAAGGCCCTCAGCGCTAGACCTCAGCGTCTGGGAGATATGCAATACCACATCACATGCAAACACAAAGGAAACCCCAGGAGCATGCAACGGGCAAAGAAACGATATGAAAGCATGCAGCAAGACATCTTCTCGCTCTGGGGATGGCCATTTTAATTTGGGGAAACAAGCTCCACCTCAGAAGCTGCAGCCTGCCAAACTAAACACGGTTTCCACAACTTCAATCAAATGGCTTGTTTTAAACGGGAAGTCTGAAACGCCACACAAACTAACAGGTCTTCATAAAACAAGCTGAGGGGACACCGTTGTAATCTCCTTAAAATGTTAACCGAATCTGAACCACCAACAGGACAAAGCATAAGATATGCTAGGGTGGGTAGGCGAGACGCAAAAATGGTTGCTGGCGTTGGGCACATGTACCTCTGTTCAACTTTTTAACTATTTCCTCAAACTTTTTTAGATTTAAGTTGACCCTGTTCTTCTTTCAATAACGCTTTATAGGTTGTCCATTTCCCCTCCATGTTCTTTTTCTTTACCAAGATGGCCTCTAATGGTGAGAGCCACCACGGTGTTTTAGGTTACAAGAGGCTTTTATTTTTCCCCATACCTTGTATAAGGGTTTTCAGATTATATGATTTAAGAATCTTCTGTGGACTTTTACCTTATTACAACACAGATATGAGGGCCAACTGTAATGGTTGTCCCATCCTTCAAGATCAAGTATATCTGTATAATTTAGTACCATCCATTCTTTAATCCAGCACAGACATGCGGCTTCAAAGTACAACTTTCCTTTAACCCTGTTAGTAATTTATACATGTACCTCTGTTCAACTTTTTAACTATTAATCATCTTTCCTGAGAACTTATTTTGAAAAACGATTGTCAGATCATGCCCTTTACAAGACAGATTCTTCCCATGCTGAATTTCCTGTCTTTAATGGCTCGCTTTGCAGGTGCTACTAAGCCAAACAACAGTTTAGTCTAAACATGTGCGCTCCTGGAGAGGAGACTGCCACTTTGCTCCCACCCCTGCCAGTCCTGTTGCTGCAACCTAAGCCATGGTTTGGCTTAGCATGTCCCCATCTGTCCCAGGGCTTGTTGTTGTTGTTTGTCTCCCCCAGACAAACCAACAATCCTTGGTTACAGCTCGTGGTGTCTGACACAAGACAAAGCACAAGTTCAGACAACAAACCATGGCTTGCTCACAGCAATGCAGTAGCAAGACCAAAGAAAGAAACATGCACACTTTTACATTTGCACCGGGTAATAGCACAATATAGGGACGTGGGTGGTGCTGTGGGTTAAACCACAGAGCCTAGGACTTGCCGATCAGAAGGTCGGCGGTTCGAATCCCCACAACGGGGTGAGCTCCTGTTGCTCGGTCCCTGCTCCTGCCAACCTAGCAGTTCGAAAGCACATCAAAGTGCAAGTAGATAGATACTGCTCCAGCAGGAAGGTAAACGGCGTTTCCATGCGCTGCTCTGGTTTGCCAGAAGCGGCTTAGTCATGCTGGCCACATGACCCGGAAGCTGTACGCCAGCTCCCTCGGCCAATAAAGCGAGATGAGCGCCGCAACCCCAGAGTCAGCCACGACTGGACCTAATGGTCAGGGATCCCTTTACCTTTACCTAATAGCACAATAAATAGGATTTTAATGCTTTATCGTATACAGTCATACCTTGGTTTTCAAATAGCTTAGTTCTCGAACGGTTTGGCTCCCTAACATCGCAAATAGTTCCAGGTTGCGAACTATTTTTGGAAACCGAATGTCCGAAGGGGCTTCTGATTGGCTGCAGGAGCCGTGCTTTGGTTTCTGAACGTTTTGGAAGTCGAATGGACTTCTGGAGCAGATTCCATTCGGTTTCCAAGGTACGACTGTATACCAATGGTGAACGCAGGTGATGGCACCACCCCAAAATTAGGTAGTGTTTGCACATGCTTGTGGGACTCTTTATGGTAGATATGATTGGCAGAAATATAAATTGAAGGTTTTAGGCAGTCAGTATTTTTTCCATCTGGCTATCAATGTTTCTTAATTTTTTAACTTCTCAACTTCCTCTGGCTGTTCAAATTCTGTTTTGACATGTTAATTTGTTTTAGTTATTTTACCTGTTTCGACTGTTATTGTAAACTGCTGTGAGGGCCGGAAGGCAGTGTGGAAATGTGCTTGTGAATCAATAATTAAATCTGTGAATGAAAATGTTTTTAAAAAAGAAACATACAGAGCATTGACGTGCCAGCTGAGAAAAATAAAACTGGGGGGCTGGAAGTTGGGGGATTAGCTACTCAAGGTCCTAAGAAATAGGTGGGGGACTCCTAGTTCTGATCAGCCCCAGCCACACGGCCAATGGTCAGGGATCATGAACATTGTAGTTCTCAGCATTTATTTGGACAGACATGCTTGGCATCTCTGCCCTAGCAACTTATGGTAAGAACCTTAGAGGGAAGTATAATTACCAGTGTGGAGATACATGCCGCAGGTATAAATAATTCTCTTCCGTGCAATATGCAGGGATATTTCAGTTGAAAGGAAAGGGGGAAATGCACATTTCACCTTTCCCATTCTGCAGGCCACTATGTATAGCTTTATAACATATAGGCTGGCAGCCACAGCACTATACGAAAGCTGGGAAACGCTGGGTAGAGGAAAGAAAAAGGCATGGTTTTTTCCCCTTTCCCTCTTGAACACCCCCCCGGGCCTAAATAAGGCCACAAGACTCCAATTCTAGCCTAACTTGAGCCCAGAACAGAGATACTCGTATTACAGGCTAGAACTACTCTGCAACATGTTGCTGTAGTTCCCGGTTGTAATAAGAAAATACTGAAATTGGTCATCAACTTTAACTGCAGAACTGCTTTCATTAGTCTATAATTTAACCCGTTAGTGCAGCGTATGCTTTTTCTGAAAGAACAAGCTCCAGAATTTTGGGATGGAATAGGCTGTTCAGTTCCCTTGAACATAGTAGTGGCTGCTAAGCTTAAAAATAGAATTGTCATTCATTTTTAACCACTTTTATATTTTCAGTGGCCTAGCCTCATGGCTTAATCCCCATTGATTTCAAAGGGAACTCAGTACAATTTAGTCCGGATTCAGCCAAATATTTAAAAATGCACTCATTGTAGCACACTGGGAAATGGCAACAGCAAGGGTAGTCACATCAAATAAGGCAGGCAGGCAATGTAAAAAGAGAATTTCAAGTTCATATCATGAGTTCACTTTTTCAATGACTTTAGTTGAACCAGACTTGTATATGACCTAAAGTTGGCAACTCACCAAGCTGCAAATAATTTTAAAATAGGATGAAACAAGACATGGTGACTCACAATCTAGATAAATTTCAGATCATACATAATGAGAGTTCCGAGTGCCAAAATCAATGGAAGAAATCAACTCATGAAAACAGAAATGAAGGTAACATGAACTGGGGGGAAATGTGAAGTTTTGTATGGTTTTCTGGATTTCACATGCTGCTGTTTTTCAACAATAAGCATGTGCTTATTATGTTTGTGGATTTGTAAACAACATCCTGGCATGGAAGATTCCTGTGCCACCATTAAACCTTAGGATGTACATACTTTTGTACTCACAATGGTACTGCCAGCATCCGGATCTGATATATCAGAGAAGAAGGGATTGGCATTAGGTCATAAAGCTTGCAGAGACAATGCACTTTAAATAAGCACATTGAAGCCTTAGTTAAATAAATAGGAATCCCTGCATAGACATGCTCTAAAATTGAAAGGGTGGAATGGGATAGGAGTCAGAATTGAACCTAAGGAAATAGACAAATGAAAACCAACATGAGAAACGGACCTAAATATAGACATTATATATAAAGTGGCAAAGTCTTCTGGTAAGCTCATACAGCCAAGAAAAGACCTCTAGCCTTTTCCTGAAGGAGCAAATTTTGCTGTAGGCCAAATTTTGTGCCTTCAGGGAGCATTTTCCACATCCTCTTGTCTGCCAAGCAATCCCTGCACATTGTAGGGATTCTAGGTCATGTTCTATGATGCACTCTCAGTACAAAGGCGGCACTGCCCAGGCCTGTTTGACTACACCACTGCCCTGTCTGGGAATTCACCCTAAAAACAGATCCAACTATCCAGTGGCTGCTTTACTGCTGGGTGATGTTCAGTAGCAAAAGGCAGGCTATTTGGCTGATGAGAATTAGAAGTGCTGATGCTCTTTCATTTGTTTTGGCGAAAAATAGTATCTGCCTTGTTCAGAGTGTCTGGGGCAACCCAGCCAGATAAGGGGGTGCAAATAAAATTATTATTATCATCATTATTAATCCAACTCACATTTACTTTGAGGTTTTCTACATTCAATTGGTATATACATTCTTTGAAATAAGTAAATCTCAAAGTGGTCAATGGGCCTTAAGTTGAGGATAGCAGCCTTGTAGAATTATTATTATTATTATAAATCCAATCCATGTTTACTTTGAGGTTTTCTGCAATAAATTGGTATATAAATTCTAGGGAATATGTAAATCTCAAAATGGTCAATGGCCTTAAGTTGAGGATAGCAGCCTCGTACAATAATAATTATTGTTATTATTAATTTGACTTGTGTAACTAAGCGGAATATAAATAATACCTTAAATAAACTTTTTGTGTGTGAGAATTTCAGAAAGCAGATATAATTTTAAATATAAAGCGTAAACCTTCTAAACCAGCTTTTCTCTGCAACCACGTCGGCTGCCCTTTGGGCTCGCTGCAACGTGAGAACCCCTTGCCGGGCAGCGCAGCACCGCACTTGCAAGACTCCACCGCAGCCGGATGCTACGCGCGCTTCCTCGACACACGAACCCGCCCTGCTCCGCGACTGCAGCCGCCGCCGCCGCCGCCGCCTTCACATCTCCTCGCGAGATTTTGGCCGGCCTTTCCCCGCGCGCTAAAGGGAAACCCCCCCGGGTCCGAAAAACTCTCATAGCCTCTCATTGCGCGGCAAGTGTCCCCAGACGCCGCCCCAGTCAACCTCCGGCGCGGCGGGCCTCGCGTTGTAAACCCTAGAGCTCGAAGGGGACCCAAGGGTCATCTAGTCCAACCCCCTGCAATGCAGTGAGGCGGCGGCGGCGGCCGCTGCTGCTGCTGCAGTGCGAAAGGCGGGCGGCGCCTCCCCTCGTCCTCCGAGCGGCGGCGCCTGTCAGTGACAGCCGGGGAGAAGAGCGCGCGGCCCCGGCAGCCTCAAGGCGGCTCCTTTAAAAGCCGAGTTCCCCCACCACCACCCTCAGAGCCGCGAGGCGATTGGCTGAGCGCGGCCCGCTCTTTCCTCTCGCGCGGCGGCCGAGGGGCCCGTTGGTGTCGCCTGGCGGCTGGGCTGCGCCTCGGAGCACCTCAGAGGAGAAGGAGGAGGCGACACCCGCCCGCCTCCACACGGAGCGCCCCCGCGCTCGCCCCTTCAGACGCCGCGCGAACCTGCGTGTGTGAAAGGAGGGCGGCGGCGCCCTCTCCCGCCTTTCCCCCTCAGCGGCCGCCCGTTTTCGAGGCTTGTGACGTCGGCGGCTCCCTCAGGCAGCGGCTGGCGGGCGGGAGGGAGGGAGGGAGGAGTCGTGAGGGGACGGCGGCGGCGGCGCTGGCGCTTCTTCTTCTTCTTCCCGGAAGGCTGCGGCGAGGCTGTGTGGACGCCTCGGCTTGAGGGGCCGCATCTTGGCGGGGGAAGCGTGAGGCAGGCGGGAGCCGCTGCCGGCCCAGAGCATCACCGGCCTCATCATCACCTGGCGCGGAGGGCGGCGCGCGGGCGGGGAGGGGCCGCGGGGCGGTTGCCTCGCCGAGGAGGCGCGGCGTGTGGCGTTGCCTCCGGAGTGCGGCATATAGTGTCGCCCAGCAGCGGCGCGGCGCCGCTCGGTAGTTTAAAGCGCCCTCGGGAGTAGCAGCAGAACCAGCAGCCTTCCCGCCCGCTCCTCGCCCGGCTCCGCGTGAGGAGGAGCAGCAGCCGCAGCAGCCATGAAAGGGAAGCAGCAGCCGCCTCACACGCCGCCTCCGCCGCCCAGCGCCGGCTCTCCTCTGCTGAAAGACGACGCCGACGAAGCGCCTCGCTTCCCGGCCAGCGACGGGGATGCCGGCGGAACGGGCGCCCCCGCGGAGCCCGGCACCGCGCCGGCTCCCGCCTCGGCTGCCGGCGACGGGCTGGCTCTCCGACCGCTGGGTCCGACGCCGAGCCAGAGCCGCTTCCAGGTGGACCTGGTGGCCGAGAATGCGGGGCGAGCGGCCGCGGTGGGGGAAGAAGAGGCGGCGACGGCGGCGGCCCCCAAACCCCCCGGGGACGGGAAAGGCGGCGAGGAAGCCAAAGGCCGGTTCCGGGTGAACTTCGTGGACCCTTCGGCCGGCGACGACAGCTCGGGGGAGCCCGGCGGCGAAGGCTGCAACGTGAGCTTCCAGAACGGGGGCGACACGGTGCTGAGCGAGGGGAGCCTGCATTCCGGCGGCGGCTCCGGGGGCCACCATCACTACTACTACGACACCCACACCAACACCTACTACCTGCGCACCTTCGGACACAACACCATCGACGCCGTGCCCAGGATAGACTATTACCGCCACACGGCCTCCGGACTCGGGGAGAAGCTCATCCGGCCCAGCCTGGCGGAGCTGCACGACGAGCTGGACAAGGTGAGAGCGATGCGCAGCCAGCGGGCGAGCTCCGTGCGCGGCTGCGTTTGGCAGAGGATCGCGGGGCAGGCGCAAGAGGGGTGGGAGCAAGGGGGTGCCTTTTGCAGAAACGCCGAAAGCAGGTCTCGCAAGCCTGGGTTGCGGCGCCGTGCAGAACTGCAGAGGCATCATCTTTGGCGATCCTTCGTAGCCGAGTACGATTGTCTTCCATAAACACGGTTTTAACAGTGAGCAGAGGCATCATCACTTTCAGGAGTCGTAGATGCGACGGCAACCCGCAGGCTAACTTAATCCCCGTGTCTAAAAGATCTTTGCCAGCCTTCGGTTCCTGAGATGTTGTTGGACTACAGTTCCCATCATCCCCAGCCAGCATAGCCAGTGGTCGGGGAGGATGGGAGCTGTAGTTAAAGAGCATGTGGGAGGAAGAAAACTACCTTGCGCTTTACCAGTTTGATATTTTGTTATGCTACACACACTGGAGTTGCAGCCTGCTGCGATTAGGCACACGTGCTTTATTTTTATATTTCTTTAAAGCAAGAGACGTCTGGTAGACCTTGCTATGCATGGGTAAAGGGGCTACATGCATTCTGATGCAATGCTCTGGTGCTGGTATAGACTAGATAAACACCCCTATGGGCTGCCAAAACTAGCTGAGCTTAAGTAAGGAGTGCTAACCTTATGTCACTGTCCTTCGTGGATTCTTTGCACATGAACTTGGCCTTCTCAGGTACACTTGGAAAATACTGTAATTTACCTAATTCTTCCATCTGCTTTGTGTATGTGTTGTCTGCTGTCCCAAGTGCACATGGGAGCATGAAACATGTGCTTATATATCTACAAAAGTAACTGGAGCATTTGCAGCTGAATATCTGCAAACGAAAAAACATGGCAAACTACTTGCTGTTAATTTCCTAAGCAGTGATAACACCAACAAAGTTGAGTATTTACCTCTTGTGAACTTCATCCCTCTTTCCTTCCTGTTTATTTTCAGCAGAAGTTTCTTGCATGGGGTCAGCTGGGGAGAACATGAAGCAAGCCCCAACTAGGGATCAATCAAAGGTCACCTTGAGATAGGCCAAAGGAAATTAATTTGTCTCTGCTTTTATAAACATGGCATCTGGGTACCACCATCATCCCTTATCTAAGTACTGGAATTATTCAGTGACACAAACTGTTTGCCATATTTCATAGATTAGGCTTAAATTAATTCAACTTTATTTCTTGTCCTCTTGTAAAGGCACTTGTTTACATCATGCTTCTCTTTATGGGCTGCTGCATTCTGCATAAACTTGCATGTGTGATTGCCTCCTCAGTATCCTCAGGAATGATTTCAGCTTCTTTTTAACTATCTTCATCCGTTTAGTATTAGTGCTTTATTAACTGTTCCTAGAATCCTAATGCTTCCTGTAGTGTTCACAACCTGGTTTTTAAAAGTAGGGACTAGGCTTTGTTTTAAAGGGTATTTGTTACTGATTCTCACACAAGACAACTGAAGGTGCTGTGTTAATTTTCTGACTTTTAACAGTAGATCAGAATTAAATACCCTCTTCAATTTTTTGTCACTGTGGGAAAAGGTAGCCTAACATGAGAAACTTTGTTTTTAAGTTTTCTTAAGTGTGAAATACATTTATTAGGAAATCCAGCAATAAGGTTTTTGTTTGTTTTTGTTTTGATTTCTTCAGACCTATGTCCTTTAGATAGAAAACAACCCCATTTTCTCACATGGTAGAAACGGTTAGTACATTTTAAAGAAGCATCTTAAATAAATAAATAAATAAATAAACAAACAAACATTTGAATATAATTAACTAAATCTCTACCACATGTTTCAATTTAAATGGTACATCTGTTATCTACTGCATATACCTATATCTACCTGCAGGTACATGGTGACATCACTCTTTAAAATGGGACTTCTGTTTCTTAAAGAGGCATACATACTTCCATCTGTCACTTATCTATAAGAAGTTTCCTATATTATGATGAAAATCCCACAAAGAGAAGATTGTGATATTTTAACCTCGGTAATGTGTTCACTTTTCCCAGTAGAGTAAGTTGCATATTCACTTGTTCTGTTGGAAACCTTCACTGACTAATAGGATGAATTGTAAACATATGAAAGCATGCTAAAGTATGGGCTTCAACCATTTACTACCTGACTTGACCATTTATTGCAAATTTTAAACAACAATAATTTAAAGAGGGGAAGAGGTTTCTCATACATCCAGTTCACTCCTTTAAATTTCAGTGAATAAACAATAGCGCAGTGCCTTAGCAATATATTGTAAATATTTACTCCTGCCTGTTTACAATATGTTGTATGTTTAGTGTATGTAGATTTTAAAAAGAAATAGAATAGATTTTTTTAAAATTTGGATGGCTTGTTAAAGTAACCCGTTTAAAATGCTGCGTGCTGCAAGACCTAGCAGCTGCCTCAGTTGTGTTTTCAGTAGTGATTGTAGTACCTGAAGCCATGTTCAACCTGGCATATGGCCCCATGGTTAGTAGGTAACCATTGACTAGGTTGTGAAGAATGAAAAGAATTACAGTGTTGTGTGTGAGTAGAAGAGTCTTTGTAAAGCACAACCAGGCAGGACCCTTAGCAAATACGTACTATCACACCTTTGAGGAAGTTCAGAAATGTAGGTTCATCTTTATTTTATTTTTTTAAAAGAACACTTGTGCATCTTCTGTACTGCTGAAAGATTATACTCACCATGGCAGGTTACGTTTTCAAGCTGCTAAAATTATAGCACAGGGGTAGTCAACCTTTTTATACCTACCGCCCACTAAAGCATCTTTCTTGATGGTAAAATTTCCTTACCAGCCACCAGTGCTTGATGGAAGGAGGATTCAGCTTGTGCCGTAGAACCCCCTACCACCCACTTAGAATCCTAGTGGGCAGTAGGGACCAGGTTGACAACCCCTGTTATCGCATAACTTAAGTATAGTTGGTGGTCAGTTTGTATCTAACCCACAAACACCCTGTGATGACTTTGAAAACTGGCAAATGAGGTAGTTGCGAAAGGAAGCTTCATAGCACATGTTGGAGACCTCTTGAGGCAATAGCCATTGTAACCTTTCCCATTGTGGCCTGGTTCACCTGTGACAGTAAATCAGGGGCAAAACAAATGATGACTTACTGGGAGCTGGTGCACCAACCCCCTCCCTGCTTTTGACACACCTAGAGGAAACCAGGGATAGGTGTAAACTAGCGCTGTGGATTATTTCTCTCCAAAGCAGCCATGAAAACAAGCCAAGAACTCCGGGAGGAAGGGGATGGGTTTTAGTTGAGTAGCGTGCACCAGCGCACTTGCTTGTTCTGTGACTTACTCTTATATGTGAACCAGGCTAGTCTTTGCTTCCTTTTCCATCTTTTCAAGGGGTGGAAGGTGAGCAAGAAGTTATAGCAATCCTGAGGAGCCATTAACTATATGTGCCAGTGTAATTTTGGTAGATTGGAATAACTTGGGGTTTTTCATGAAAACAAAGAATTACTAGTAACCTTGGCATGTACCTATGCATTCCTTCCATAGGGACATAGTTCATTTTTATCTCAATTTTCTAATATGAAAATAAAGTGCGTTACCATCATTAAAATGGAGCAGTAGTAAGACACCAGAAAGTAAGACATTAACTCACAGTGCTGATGAAAGAGGCTGGCTTGACTCATCACAATGATAGTGTCATCCATGATACGCGTGGGAAAATTTCTATTTTACCAAAAAAAAAAAAAAAAATCAACTGCTTTTTGCTGTGGAAAATTTTCTGTTTTATAAGTTCATGAATAACAGTGAATGGATGTCAACTGCAAATAAATATTAGATATGTTTGACAGTTCAAGTATTTTTTCCCTTTGTTGACCAACAAACAAGCATGCTAAATTAGATCACTCTCTAGGGAGTCAGAAAATTTCATACACACACACACACACACACACACACACATAAAATTCCCTGCAAATTATTGGAATTTGCATTGGAAGTGCAATGTTATGTTACGACTGCTGTTCACTGCTATGTTGAACACTTCACCATCTAGGACAGGAAGGAGTTTTTGCCTCCCCCCACTCTTGTCCCATTATATGGGACACGGGTGGCACTGTGGGTTAAACCACAGAGCCTAGGGCTTGCCAATCGGAAGGTCGGTGGTTCGAATCCCCGCGACGGGGTGAGCTCCCGTTGCTCGGTCCCTACTCCTGCCCAACTAGCAGTTCGAAAGCATGTCAAAGTGCAAGTAGATAAATAGGTACCGTTCCGGCGGGAAGGTAAACGGCGTTTCCGTGTGCTGCTCTGGTTCGCCAGAAGCGGCTTAGTCATGCTGGCCACGTGACCCGGAGGCTGTACGCCGGCTCCCTCGGCCAATAAAGCGAGATGAGCGCCGCAACCCCAGAGTCGGCCACGACTGGACCTAATGGTCAGGGATCCCTTTATCTTTACCTTTACCTTTTACTCTTGTCCCATATTGCACCCTATTTAATTGCTTCAATTGAATTCAGTGGGAAGCACTGAGAACTGATCCCACTTCTAATGTGTTTAACCCTCCTAGAATCTTGTGCATACCTTTTAAAGCAGTGAAAAGCAGTGTAGAGAATGTGCCTGCCCAATCTAGATAGGACCAACTGCACATTCCTACCATGGTTAGAAGAGATGCCGCAGCTCTACAGTGAATGATTGCTGTGCCTTCAGTTGTCAAGAGGGGAGGGACTGAGCTCAGTGGCCGAATGGCAAGCTTTGCTTGTAGAAGTTCCTAAGTTCAATCAGTTGTGTAGGACTGGGAAAGATCCCTGGTGCCAGTCAATATGTAGATAATACTGAGGGTATATGGACCAATGGTCTGATTGTGAATGGGGCAGCTTTCAATGTTCTTATTCTGGTAATGCTTTGCCTACCATTCCCAGCTCTTGCTGGCGAGGACAAAGATGCTGGATGACTTCAAGTTAAGAGGCACAATTTGACACTTTGGCTGCTCGCCTGGGGGGTAACTGCTTCTTAGTGAATATATTGCAAACTGCATGGAGATCACGATTTCTGTTACTATGGTGGTTCAAGCAAATTGCAAATTTTAACTTTGATTTAGTTGTTTTAAAGTTGTGCTAGTCTGCTAAGGACACAGTGAATGCTAGAATAATTTCTATAGTGTTATAAAACTGCAAATGACATGATTCCAGCTCTGCATGTGTAGGACTGAGCTGGGCATGTAAATGCCTTCAAAAGCATTTTCAATAAATCACTTGAGAGAGAGGCATATTTAACTGCATGATAAACAGCCAAACTATATAATTCTGTGGATCTAATCTAATGATGGCCTTTTCGGGGGACTCTTAATCTCCCTCCCACCCACCATTTACAAGCAGCCAGATTGGGAGCAATGTTTACTTTACTTTCCCCCACTATTTATTCATTTTAGCTTTTAATGTTTATGAATGTGAGATCTCCTTGACCTTAAGATTCAAATCTGAGTAAGAATCTTTGGGCCATGAGGGTCATTTTCAAATAAACTTCTCTACTGGTTTTAAGGTGCTGTGTTCTTGTGGCAAGCGAGATGGTAGAGGAGGATAGATCTTTTATTGATATAAAAATGAATTGCTGGGTGAAGTTGGCTGATATTTTTGAAATTTATTCATAACCTATGTGATGAGACAGAGGAGGTGGTCAATATTGCTGTCAAAAAAAATCCAACTTGGGAATGGAGATTTATTCCTCAGGCACAGTTTGGAATTAAGCTCTGGATGAATAGAATTGGTTTTATGAGTAGCTATTCCCAAGTCTGAAAATTACTTATTTGTATGGAGGATATGTACCATATTGTAGGTTTTCTGTGTTGGTGTGTATGAAGTAATGCTTTTGAATGAAAAGTTTGGAAAACACAATAAAACATCAAACCTTAACTGATATGGGTAAAAGTAGTTGCCATTAGGATGCTTTAAACTTTCATTCTGTTGAGACATTCACAGGCTGTCTCCCAGTGTATTCTTGAGTGGTGTTTGTAGAGCAGATGTATGGCAACAATCCTTGTGTAAAGAAGATCCTAGATGTATCTTCAAATTTGTACAATGTGAGCGTCTAAGCACAGCAGACTTTTCAAAAGTACTGCAATAGATGCTCCTAAAGCAGCTAGGTCATAAAACAAATGGAGTATAACAATCACAAAGGCGGCAAATTCCAACCACACTCATAGGAATTTATGTGTGTTCTCTTTAGTTATATGATTCTCTTCTCTTCCCACCCTGCACCTCTTATCATATTAAATGACTTTGAATGGTGTGCTGTGTGTAAGTGTAACTGGCTGTTTAACCCATTCCTTCATTGCTGTTTTGTCTGCTCAGAGTAACCCCTCCTTCCAGATACTTTTCATCACATGCTGCTTTTTCTTCCTCAGCTGCTTTACATGATAAAAGAGAAGATTAGGGCGGAGGTGGAAAGTGGAATAATAGGAACAACATGAAATCAGTCCTTCTGTCTGGGAATGCAGAGAAAAACTTTCAGTTTGAGGATGGGAGAAAAATGTTTGATCTGTACTTAGGGCGAATGTTGTCATGATAACCTGGTTGAGAAGAGGAAGATTGGCCTGCAGAACTATGTGCAAATGAGGAGGTGTTGAGGATTAATGCAAGGTCAAGAGCTGAAATATTAACTTGATGGCTCTTAAAGTCTTACAACTGACTACAAAGTTTTCCAGTAACTAATGACTGAGAATTAGCAAGTGGGAAATCTGTTTAAGGGGCTATATTACTAAACAAATTACAGTGGTGCCTCGGGTTACATATGCTTCAGGTTACATACGCTTCAGGTTACAGACTCCGCTAACCCAGAAATAGTACCTCGGGTTAAGAACTTTGCTTCAGGATGAGAACAGAAATTGTGCCCCGGTGGCACAGCAGCAGCAGCAGGCCCCATTAGCTAAAGTGGTGCTTCAGGTTAAGAACAATTTCAGGTTAGACGTGGGACCTCCAGAATGAATTAAGTACTTAACCTGAGGTACCACTGTTAATGAAGCTAATGAAGCCCTGAGTTCAGTAAACCTGTATTGGCACAGTTTGATTTGTCAAGCTGCTTGCTTGGGGAGGAAAGTCTGTAAAAGTACTATTCTTGGGTGAGATAGAGTTCAAGTTTGAACTAGAACTTTGGGGGGTGGGAATCTAGTGCTATAAATTAGAACAGGAGCCCTTTCTACACCTATGGCTAAAAGTGTGAACAGAACTTAACAACTCTTTCAGAAATAAATATATTCCAGTGTGATTGACCATGATCCTTGGAAACTGACTTATGCCCAGGATACTTCTTAAGGAGCTTTTTCAAAGGTCCTGAGTGCTGGGATAGCTCAGTTGGTGGATGAACTTATCTGCAGCTTTTTCTCTCACAGTACTATACTTAGCAGCCTTTTGTTCCTGGTGGCAGGAGATCCATCAGTAGACTTGAATTTTCTGTCTGTTTTCCTGTATTGAATGGGGCTCTAACCATTGTGTGGCAGCAGAGAAGATTCCATTGTGGTGCTTGCTTGACTTTATATTAGAAATACTCGTGCATAGAAGAGCTGCATGTAGAGGAACAGAACTTGGATGTAACTACTCATCCTCTTATCTCTTTGCCTTAAATAATGAGCAGTCAAATAGCATTTTTATGTTCAATGCATGCATTCTTACAATACTCTAAAATAGTAAAAAATTATTACTATTATAGGACAGGCATGGAGGAGGCTAAGTGATAGGAACCTCTGCAACTTAACTCACTTAGCCACTATTTTGGGCCAACTCTTACACGTCACCAGCACAGCAATATGTTTTGATTCACTGCTTTAATATTATACATAAATAGGACAGAAAAGTAAGTGGTTGTATTTAGTAATTTTAACACTTAAGGTTTTTTTATGTCACTTGATCTGTGGGAGGCAACTCTCCCCTTCATCTCTCCCCAAAAAGAGCACTCTGGCAGTAAATAACATGAAGAACCTGCTAAAAAAGTTCTGAACATATAATAACCAAGAAAAATATCCCATTTACAAGATAATAATGCAGAAACTAGGGGTGGTATTAAATTAAATTTTACTGAGAGTTGACCAATTAAAAATAATGGCTCTAACCTTAAGTAAAACATAGTTGAATGCCAACCACTGTCAGTAATACATCATACAAGGTAATGTATGTTGTGAAATCTTGACATTTGTCACACCGCCACATATGTGCATACTGCCTCAGTGTTTTCCTTCTGAGTACTGTCCTATTAAAAGGTATCCACTTACTTCAGTATTCTATGCATTTATATTTATATCGGTAACACATACATAATGCAGTGTTGTCTTTTATGCATGTAACAATAATACTTTACTGATTCTATAGTTGATAATTCTTTCACTATGTCTACATAATTGTTCCATGAAAGTCTAATACTTGAGTCAGGGTACTGTGCATAATTGTACATCAGTTAAAATAAGAAAAAAAATTATGTTAACATATCAACAGTTGACTAAATTACAGCACAATCCTATGCATAGCTAGTTTCACAAAATGGTAATCCATGGGTTGTTGTTGTCAAGCCATGAGTTAACCATGAGTTGCCCTGTAGATGATCAACAAACTGTGATTTGTTTTGTTTTCTAGTTGCTCTTGCACCATGCCTTTGTAGTTTGGCAAGCATCTGTGGTGGAGGGGTAAAAAAAATCATGGTTAAGGAAAGTTGCTGGATTCACAAAGAAGAGCAAGCCATGGGTGTTTTTCCTTTTTTTGAAACCCAAGCATTGTAAGCCAACAGCAAACAATGGTTAAGCTCCTGGTAGAGTTTACTTAGAGCACTAAGTCATGGTTTACTAAACAATAGTTTACTGTTATGTGCTAACCAGGTCTGATACTAGAATGATCAGATCACATGTTGCCAAACATTAGCAGTTTTACTTTTTGGTTATTTTTTTGCTAAAAGCCTGAATATTTTCTAGTTCTATAAAATTAAAATGTTCTGGCATTTTATTTTTGCATAGTTTGCATTTCACCAAGTAGTCCAAATCTTCCTATTGCTCCTAAATTTTAATTTGTTCTATCTAGATTCCATTTTGCTCTGTGAGAATCTAGTAAGTATTATATCATCTGTGCTGTGACACTAGTGAGTGACCTATGACATCCTGATTTTGTGTATTGTCATAAATAGATCTTTTTAAATGTTATGCTATCAATTTTAACCGAATGCACAACTAGTTACAATTTGGGGAGGAGGAATTTACAGTCCCAGGCCAGTTCTTTCAAGATTTACAAAGATTTTTCCTGGACTTACAAATACGCATAGGAGGCATATTGTACTGTGACCTTGGAATCTAATGCAGATAACTGTGTTTGCTAATTTTTCAGCCCTTGCAATGAGGGTATAAAGATCATTTTCTGCCTTTTTGAATGATAGCATCAATTAGAATTTTTTTCTTTGATATCTTGCTGAAGTATCTGATTCCAGAACAGATGCCTTTTTCTACACTTATGGAACATAGCCTAATGAGGGGGAATTCAGCCATTTTAACATTATGGCATGCTGTTGTATTAATGCAGTAACTTTCCATACTGGATAGAAATTATGTTTGGCTGATCAGTTGCTTTCATTTTTCCCCCCATTAATACATATTAATTAGCTTTATGCCATGTTTGGTATTACTTTTTGCTGGCCAAGCTTTAAATTTAACCTTGTGTGGAGGAAAATTACACAGTATTCCCTGAGCAACTCTCCCGTGGGATCCAGTGATCCTCAAAAGCAGACATTGCTTCTGGTTCATTTCACTTTTACCCTCTTGTTGAAGTGTTATTCCTTCAAATCTAGAATCTGATAAAGTTCACAAAATACACAAGCACAGCTAAGTTTTTATATGCCAGTGCTTTTGAAAAATGTGATAATATGAAGGCATCTAAATTCATCTTGTATGTGCTTCAAACCTTTACGTTCAATTAACCAACTTGACAGTTACCAAGATTGTGGATGAAAATAGCCTTTTTCATTAACTTGTTCCTTCAGCTTGCATGCAAATGCAATTCTGAAACATAGGTAATATTTAGATCAGTGGGATCTAAATGTACTTAGGATTGCAACTTTAAACAGAGGCTCAATAGGTTTCCGTTTCATCCAACCCACTCCTTCTGATTGTTGCTTTACTACAGGAACCATTTGAGGATGGATATGCAAATGGAGAAGAAGGAACTCCTACGGGAGATGCCACTGCTACTTATACTGCTGAAAGTAAAGGGATTGTCAAGTTTGGTTGGATTAAAGGTGTATTGGTAAGTATAACTTTGGTAATGATAAACCCATCTGTGCTTATTTTCTTAGCAACAATTGAATATGTCTACTTGCATATATATTGCAGATTTTTTAAAAAAGAGCAAAACAATTGATTACCATGTAGTAGATACAAAGTTTCTGTTTTCTGTATCTGCTACTCTCATTGTTGTTTTTTAAAAAGAAATATGTATCCAGATACATTTGCCTTTGTCTCCCCCAGCTCTTTTTATTACTGTGCCCTAAAATGATTTAGGACATTCATGAATGGCCAAACACTTTCTCTCTTCCTGCTGTTCCTTAACTCAAAGATAAACTCTGGTTCATCTTTGAGTGTATAGCAAATTAAATTTCATTCCTTCAGACACTTTACTAAGAGGCAAATCCCGTTTAACTTGGATCTTGCTTTTGAGAAAATCTTATTAGGCCTGGCTGTAAGGTGAAGAATAATGAAAAGGCATTCATGTTACTTAAGGCAGCCTTGTATTGCATGCAGGTCCCACTTGCCAAACACAATGCATTCCCAGGAAATTGTTTCTTAGGCGGGCGTTTGCATAAGGAACTGAAGATTTCTATTATTTCCTATGGGAGCATTTCTAATCCGTGACTTGTCTTATCTCTCTCCTCTGTCCCCTCCATGGTTTCTGCCTGAAAATGGCTGGCGCTGTCCAGCAAACCACAAACAAGAAAGGAAGTGGGCAAACTCTGGTTTATCTGAATTAGCTGTGTGTGTAGTGAGGTTTGGGTTTGTTTCTTTATGTTTGGATAAGTGAATTTTTGCATAATAAGTGGGCGGATAGCAGGACCTGCGTGTATACAGTTTGCCTGGTAACTTTATTGCAAATGGACTAGCGGGGGAAGGATGACTCTCCTTCATCTGTAGCCAGCATGGAAATGCAGACACGAGTCACTTTGCACAGTTAACTCAGGAAACACAAGGGAGGGAACATGGTGGCTCAAATTTCATCCCCCGTCCGATAGCTATTGGATCAGTGCCATGATGTCATAAGGATACAGTAACTTGCACAGCTTATAACATTAACTAGATTTTGTTTCTTCTGGTGGAGTGCCTGGGGAGAGCAGTCCTTTGGCCCAAATAAGGGTGAGGAGAGAGCAGTATCCTGGCTCAAATAAGTAAACAAAAGGATTTCATCTATAAATTGGCTTCCCTGCCGTGTTCACTTAATGGGACATTCATCTCAGCTAGTAATTTTTCTTTGACTTATTGGAAGTCTAGGAAGGAATTCAGTGTCATGCTAAGGTGATTTGGGCAGGTTGAGCATTTTGGCTTGCCCGACAGAGGGATTCCTGTTCCTTCCTCCCCATGCTACTATGGTCTTCCTCCTGCACCCTGCTCCCCCAGCCTGTTGTTATTGTTATTATTGTTATTTATTAAATTTGTATACCACCCTATACCTGCAGGTGTATATTACAAGGTGTGCAAGCCCAATTTCCCATGAAAGCCGAAGCCCTTCTTTAGGACTTCCGCTGACAGGGCTCATTAGTTGAAACCTGTCCCTAGAATTTTAATTATGTTTTTGTTTTTTGTAAGAAGTCAGTGAATTAACTGAACCCAACCTTTTCCAATAAAAAAAAATCTCATTCACAGGTTTATCAGACTTTATAGTTGTTTGAAAATAACTCAATGGAGAAACAATAAGATTTGTAAGATCACAATTTCTGTTACTATGGTGGTTCAAGCAAATTGCAAATTTTAACTTTGATTTAGTTGTTTTAAAGTTGTGCTAGTCTGCTAAGGACACAGTGAATGCTAGAATAATTTCTATCCTTCTTAACTTAGTGTTATAAAACTGCAAATGACATGATTCCAGCTCTCATGTTATAACTGTGACAGGATGGTGGAAATTAACACAGTTCAGTTTGTACAAACAAAGCAACCTTACATGGACAAAATCCCCTGTCTTCTGGAGGAATCTTGGCATGTCTGTAGTATATTTTATCTTGACATGGCAAAAAAAAAGTATTTACTTTAAATAATTGGAGTTTTTGTATTGTTTTCCAGTTTACAATTATACAGAGTATTAACTACCTATTTATTTATTTATTATTGTTGCTTATTATAATTGTTAGTCACTTTTCTCAGTAACCCCAAACCACTTACTTTAAAAACTTTTTAAAAACAACCAGGTAAAATCCCTAAAAACACAGCTATACAAGTAGAAGGCATGACTACCTGATCCCACTCCACCAAAAGATGCCACAACACTGCCTTTCAAATTAAGGGCCAAGAGAGAAAAGTATTTGCCTGGTGCCTAAATATAGATAAAGATGGTACCAAGTGTGCCTTCCTGGGGAGAGGACTCCACAATCGCCATCGAAAAGTCCAATTCTTGTGTTTCCACCCTCCAAACCTCCTGTGGAAAGGAGCACTTGAAGAAGGGCCTCAGATCTAGCTGCTGCTGCTGCTGCAGCATTTGGGTCATAAACACTTCTGCTTAAACATTAATAATATTTGTTTTATGTTAAGGAGAAGTATAATTTTCATAATGTAGTGACTTCAGTCATTGCGCTTTTAAAAATGGTCTGTTAAAGCAGGCCTGCACAAATTGCAAGACATCAAGTCAAATGGGCCCACCATATGGTGGCACAGAGAAGAGATTGATAAATCCCTACCACTGCTACTGATCCAGGACTGGAAGAATTGAAGATAATAAACTGCCACAAAGCATGTCTGGTGTGCTGTTTGGCTTGAATCACAAGTCGAGGTGCTTGGTTGCCTGCATAACAGCAGACTTTTGAAGTTGACCCTGTGAACTCGATTCTTAAAACTCTGTTGTAGCTTATTCAAAATGATACCTCTATAATAAATATTGGGACAGCATAGCATGAAAATTCTTTGCTCTTACGGTGTTCTAGGTACGATGCATGTTGAATATCTGGGGTGTGATGCTGTTCATTCGACTGTCCTGGATTGTAGGACAGGCTGGCATAGGTAAGTGTGCCCACCAAATAAAACATCTCTGTGTACTATGTTAATCTTGATCAACTGTTAAAGATCGGTGACTTGTAACTTACAGCATTGGATGAGAATATGATTGATGGAATGCTGCTGATTACCATTGTGATATTCTTAACATGGAATATATGCTGCTTATCAGTTTCACTAAGAGGCTCAGTGTGTCTCCAGAGCAATGTTCTTTTCTTTGTTATTACAGTATGAGACACTGATTAGGAGGTAATACACATTTGAAGGATTAGTCCTGCTCAGAGCGTTACATAGGCAACAAGTAGTTTTTCATATTCCTTGTTAGTAGTTGCTAGCTTCTGTGGTGTCCTCAAAAGGTGAGGCATACTCTACCTGAAAAGGTACTCCTGAGGGCAGGAGAGGTGGTAGACACGCTTGTTCTTGATGTGAACAGGTGATGTCTTGCATATTGTCGGCACATGTTAAAACAAGCTTGTTTAAAACCAGCTCGTGCATGCTTTAGGTTTAAGACATTTTTTGTTGTATTGATTTATTGAAACCAACAGCCAGCGTTTGTTAAACAATATTGTACATTTGTTTTGGGGGAAATGATAATTTCCTGTAAATAATCTTAGGAATCTTCTTACAGGACTTGCAGTCTTGGTCATTGCAATGGCGACTGTGGTAACTACGATCACAGGCTTGTCTACATCAGCAATAGCTACCAATGGCTTTGTGAGAGGAGGTAAAACAATGTTATACATGTACTTTCCTGTTTAGTTTTCTTCAAAGGGAGCCAAATCATGTGAAATTTACTTTGCATATATGCATCAAATATTTTATTTAATTGCAGAAGTACATCGTAAGTGGCAAGGTTTTCTTCAAAAAACAAAGTGATTGTGCTACTGTATTTTTAAACTGTCAGCTCGCAATAGTGAACTTTGAAAAAGTGACTTTGGGGGTCATGAAGGTGAGGAGAGGTAGGTAGGTCACAAGTAGGGTTGGCGAGTACAGCTGGTAAGACATAGATAAAAGAATTTGAAATCAGACAAATGGTGAGTAATGCATTAGAAATGGAGAGTAACTAGATCAGTGATGTGGAACCTGTGGCCCTCCAAACATCGTTGTACTCCCATTGCCCCACCCAACATGGGGAGAATGACAATTGTAATCCAACATTTGGTGGACTACAGGTTCCTCTTCCCTGACCTAGAACCACCTACGCATTCACAAGTTGAGAGGCAAACAATGCGATCCAAGCTTTGTTTTGAGAAAGAGGTACCATTTATTGTAGTGAGATTTACTTCCAGCTAATTACATTAAGGGTTGTAGTCCAAGTAATTAAAAGATGTTAAGAAAACTTAAACACTGAGCTTGCCTTTCTTAAGAGGCTAATTGCAGATTTGTATCTTGAAAATCAGCTTGGCCTTCTTCCCGGATGCTGAGCAATCTCAGTGATGCTATGGAAATGTGATTGTCTTAGGTACAGCAAGTCTGGTTTGTTACTATCTACAGTCGGATGCTCTGTTGATGCAACATGTTAATCATGGCTTACACAATTGGACAATTTTCACTTGGGCGTACTTTTCCACACAACTGGGCATATGAACTGTGCAGTCTTAAGGCAGTAGTGAGCTTTCTGTAGATATACTGAGGACTTCTAATGGGGTTTGAGTGCTTTCCTGTCAGTGGGCATTTTTCCCTGGAAAAGTGGTGCTTTTAACAACTCCTTGGCTAGCCTTTGACAGCTTTAGCCTTGCTCTTTATATCTCCTGTGACAGGAGTAGTTAACCTGTGGCCCTCCAGATCTTGTTGGACTCTCAAGTGACTCCCATTAGTTGCAACCAGCATGGCCCAGTGGTAGGGATGATGGGAATTAGAGTCCCACCATATCTGGAGGGCCATAGGTTAACTACACCAGTCGTATGAGAAAAATTTATGCAGCATAAAGGTAGAAATATGATGGCTTTATTTGAGAAGCTTGCTTCTTGAATAGAGTGTCCATTGGAACAGAAAATACAATTCATGAATAATTCTGAAGTGAATTTTCTTCACTGGTCTTATTTTTGGGGGGATTGCTATTTGTGTTTCCTCTCTTCCTTTTCTCTACTTCAAAGTGAATGTTAGTAATCTTCAGCTGTATAATCTGATTTTTTAAAAACAGGTTTTCTATCTTTTTAAAGACTGCAAGAAATAAATAATAGACTTTGATAGAATTACAAGCTTGGTGGATAAGAGGAATGCTGTGGGTGTAGTGTATCTTGATTTCAGTAATGTTTTTGATAATAACAAATAGTCTTACAGAGAAGCTGGTAAAATGTGGGCTGGACAAGGTAACTGTTAGGTGGTTTTGTAACTGATTGACCGACTAAACCCAAAGAGAACTCACTAATAGTTCCTCATCCTCTTGGAAAACAGTGACTAGTGGGGTGCCATGCTTCAGGGTTCTGTCCTGGGCCCATTGTTGCCCAACATCTTTATAATGACTTGGATGAAGGAATTGAGGGAATCCCCATCAAATTTTCAGATGACAGCAAACTGGAAGGGGTAGCTAATGCCGCAGAAGACAGAATCTGGATTCAAGATGATCTGAACATATTGAAGAACTGGGGCCAAAATTAACAAAATGAATTTCAATAGGGGCAATATACAGTTCTACACTTAGGCAGGAATGATAAGCTGCACAAATATAAGACGGGACACCTAGTTTGCCAGTAGTAAATGTGAAAAGAATTTAGGGGTCTTAGTTGACCACAAGCTTTACATGAGTCAACAATGTGATGCAGGAGCAAAACAAAGTAATAAACTAATGCTATTCTAGGCTGCATCAACAGAAGTATAGTATCTCAATCAAGTACCATTCTATTCTGACGTAGTCAGACGCCACCTGGAGTACTGGGTTCTGGGCAGCACAATATAAGAAGGATATTGACAAGCTAGAACGTGTGCAGAGGAGGGTCTGGAAGCCAAGTCTTATGAGGAATGGTTGAGCGAAATGGGCATGTTAAGCCTGGTAAAGAGGAGACAGATACGATAGCCCTCTTCAAATATCTAAAGGGCTGTGTCATGGATGGAGCAATTTTCTGGAGTGTAGGACCCAAACCAATTGATTCAAATTACAAGAAAGGTGATTCTGACTAAACATCAGGAAGAATTTTCTGACAGTTGGATAACTTTAATTCTGTTATCTTACTGAAGGCTGTTACACATGTAGCTGAGGGCAACCTGATTACCAGCTGAAGTAGCAGCGAGGGGCATATCTACATTCTACAAACGTAGAGCTTTTAGCTGTGTGTGTATAAAAACATAGTACATACCAGAGCTTGGTTACACATAGCCTTGAATCCTGCTCTAATTCTTCTTTATTCTCTCTGCAGGGGGAGCATATTATCTAATTTCCAGAAGCCTGGGTCCAGAATTTGGTGGTGCAATAGGCTTGATATTTGCATTTGCTAATGCTGTTGCTGTAGCCATGTATGTTGTTGGTTTCGCAGAGACCGTTGTAGAACTGCTTAAGGTAAACAACTTTTTTCCAGTTTTGTTTTTCACAATGATAGAAATTTTACCATCCCTTTTCTACAATATAACTATGGATTGGATTGATCTGTAATTGTTGTCAAATCCACTACTCATGTGACTTAAAATCTATAATATTGAATGACTCATTTTTACACAGACATGTAAACAACCTTGGATTTGGTGCCCCCAGAGTTCTGGATGACAGGCAAAATACTTGTTGGGATCAGCCTTAGACCAAATGATTGTGGCTTAGTTGCAGTAAAAATATATGCAGGATCCAATACTTGAAAATACTTCTGTAAGCCCATGGAGGGTTTAGTCCTATCGCTAAGCTTAATAGCGTTCTCCCCCCCCCCCCAATGCAGAGCAAAGTATAAAACTTAGAGGAAACATGCTCAGCTGTTTGAAAGGAATTGGAGTTTATTGGGGGGGGGGGTCTATTATGCCTGCAAGAGCCTATGAACATGTTTAGATCCTGGTCTGCACCTTCATCTAAGGTGTATGATTTTTAAAATAAATTGACTTTACTAAGGTAAAACATAGGGCCATTAACAGAGTTGAACCATTAAAATGTGGTGTTTAGTTATGGTTCATGTTTATTAGTATTTCTGTTTTAAAAATCTGATTTTTTTGAAGTTGTGAATGTATGACTCGATTTGTATGAAAAACGAACCCTACAAAAAGAATATAATAAATTCTTAAGAAAAACTGCTAGCACTTAATACCATATTTGCTAGGACTCAAAATCATATTTGATCACTGTTAGGGCAGAATTATTTCATAACAGGAAAGCGAACATATGGTGTCAACCTTGTCATAATTGTCTCTCTTTTCTTTCTGTAGGAACATAATTTAATTATGTTGGATCAAATGAATGACATCAGAATAATAGGAGCCATCACAATTGTTATTTTATTGGGCATCTCTGTGGCAGGAATGGAGTGGGAAGCTAAAGTAAGTAACAGTGATTTGAAACATCTACTGCCCAGAAAAGCAGAACACCTTTTGAAATCTGCAAAGCAAGTGAAGTAAACATTGACTTGAACTTACATTGGAATTAGAATTTGGAATCAGATTTCTGGCTGCAGGGAATGAACTTACCGTATTTTTCGCCCTATAGGACGCACCAGCCCATAGGACGCACCTAGATTTTGGGGGGGAATAAAGGGGGAAAATTTTATTCCCCCCCCCCCCCGGCGCGGGGCTGGGGCGGGGGAAGCCCGAGCTTCCCCCGACCCCAGCTCCCAGAACGGGACCCAGAGCCATGGGTCTGTTTTAAAAATCTGTAATCTGTAATTAAAAATCGTGCAGCTTTGGCATCGCTCTGGGAGCTTGCGGGGCTGGGGGAGGGGGAAGCCCTCCACCAGCCTCCAAACCAGGTCGGGAGACAGCGGGATGGCGCGCTGCGCCTCTCCCGCTATCCCCTGAGTTTGCGGGGCTGGCGACGGGCAGGAGAAGGCTTCTCCCCCCCGCCAACCTTCTAACCAAGTCAGGGGACAGCGGGATGGCGGCGTTCCGCCTCCCCGCTGTCCCCCCGAGCTTGTGGGGCTGGCGGTGGGGCTCTCCAGGCTTCAGCGAAAGCCTGCATTCGCCCCATAGGATGCACACACATTTCCCCTTCATTTTTGGAGGGGAAAAAGTGCGTCCTATAGGGCGAAAAATACGGTACTTATGTTCATTATACTGTTGATTAACAAACCAGGAAAATAAACCAGTTCATAAATTTTGCACTTGGGGAGGAATGAAGGCAGGTGCTGTTGAATGCAGAGTTGAGCCAGTTGTGTGAGACTTTAGTGCTACATGCACAGTAACTATTTAGAAACTGAAACCTTATATTAGTAGAGTTTTGCATATTAAGTATGCTCTTCAAGGATTTGGACTTATCCTTGGTCAGTCTGGCTCATGATGTGCATTAGTCCTATTATATGGGTTTCCCTCATGCAGTCAAGTGTTCCCTTTGCGGCATCAAAAGGGGAAAGCAACAAGTATACTGCAAAATAGAGAGGCCACCCAAAAACTTAGTACGATACTGAAAGGTTACTCTTCTAGTATAGGTGATGCATTCAAACAGATCCAAGTACTCGTGCAGAGACCATCGTGGTGTCTGCATTGTTAAAAGCACCCCTAACCTGTGTTTCAAGACTTTAGATGATACGTAAATTGGGAATATGAAAAGCAAGCTTCAAGTGAAGCTTAATGAAACGTTTTAATGTATTATCATTCTAGTTGCATAAGAAAAATATAATTGGGATTGTGAAGTGAGGGAGAGGTGTCTAAAAACAACAACAGAGGTCCTATATGCATACTCATGAACCTCACTGAGCTGAAGAATCTTACAAGTAAATGAGTATTTCATTGTGGACTGAGGATTTGGTCAAATGATAAATAAAATATTGATCAAATAATGGCCATGTATTTTTAAAGCATTGACATGAAACAATCACCAGTTTGATATTTCAGCTAATTACAAAAACAAGTTAGATATCTTTACAACTGTTATCACATTTGCTTAAATAAATTCATTACAATGTTAGAAAAAAATATTTAATACACATATTGAAACATAACATTTAATACTCAGACTCCACATAAAAGTCACATTTCTGTAAATACCTTAATGGTTACATCAGGCATAGGCAAACTTGGCCCTCCATATCTTTTTGAGACTACAATTCCCATCATCCCTGACCACTGGTCCTGTTAGGTAGGGATAATGGGAGTTGTAGTCCCAAAAGATCTGGAGGGCCAAGTTTGCCTATGCCTGGGTTACATAAAGAGGTAAGTATTACGTATGTTGTAGATGTACTGAAAGTTACATTTTGATTCTCTCCTTTCCCCCAAAAACCTGGGAAGGCATTCTCATTCTCTATTTTACTTTAACAACTCTGTGGGGTATGTTAGACGGAGTATGTATGACTGGCTCAGCTTCATGGCTGGCTGAGGATTTGAATCAGAGCATTCCAGTCCTAACCTGAGAAGGTTTGCTGTGCTGCCCAGTCTGCGCCAGGCTATACACTACAGGGCTAGGAGGCAAGGTGATTTCACTGCTGCCCTTGCTTAACAAATGGTGCTGCATTGTAAGCTGCCATCTACTCCATGGTCTTCTTGGAACATGTGATCTTAGTTGACCAGTTAATTGCCCAAGCCTACTGCTTACGTCCAGTTGCGCATGGATTTAGCTTGGATAAAAATGTATTTTAATTATGTTGATGACTTCTAAAATTACAGGCACAAATTGTTCTGCTTGTGATCCTGCTAGTTGCTATTGTTGACTTCATCATAGGAACATTTATTCCATTTGAAAGCAAGAAGCCTAAAGGATTTTTTGGCTACCAAGGTAAGGGAGAATGACCAAATACTAATTTGCTGGAAACGTAGCTGCAATGGATATCTGAAAGATGTTGATATTTCAATTATGTTTCTAGTGGAAATGTTTGCTTTAGCCAAAGCTATAAGACTGTACGATATATCTGAAGAATGAATGCCTTGGTTCGTACGTCTATTGCAGGCATAGGCATCCTCGGCCCTCCAGATGTTTTGGGACTACAACTCCCATGATCCCTAGCTAACAGGACCAGTGGTCAGGGATGATGGGAATTGTAGTCCCAAAACATCTGGAGGGCTGAGGTTGCCTATGCCTGGTCTGTTGAGAGAGCAGGGATTTGGGTTCCATTTGATATTTCATCATGCAACTCAATATGCTAATAACAGTTGATGCACAATTTCCCCTTGTTGGATTGTGTTGGAATCAATGAAGGCTGCACAGCAATAGTGCTTAGGCAAGCAAGCGGCAATTACATTTCTTGCCCTGAAGGCTGCTCTGAGGATTGACTGATCCTCCAAGGGCCACTTGCAGCGTTGGATGTGGCCAATGCACACTCCCTCGCATGAGCACACTCACCACCACAGATAATGCACACATGTTCAAATTCATTCAGACAGCTGCCTACCCCCAAAACTCAGTTGAGTAGCTGAAGACAGGTGGGCTTTCTTCCCCCATGGCAGTGCTGAGCTTTGGAGGAGAGGATCTGCAATGAGGAAGAGTGCTACCCACTTACCTTGCAAAGGAGACTCCTCTCCCTCTGATTAACACCATTGCAAGAAGGCCTTAAGGCTTATGAAACAGGAAGGAACATTCTTTCCTGTTTCCTAAGACATTCATGCAGTGACGTTGCGCCACAGAGACAAGGGCTTCCTTTGTAAGGTAAGTAGAGGCAGAGGTGCCTGGTTTTTGATAGCTGGCAGGCCCTCTGCAGCAAGGGATACCTCAGCAGAAATTTCAAAAAAGAAAACTGAATTTTGGGGGGTCGGGGGGGGGGATGTGTACCAGGATAATATTTGGTAAGAAAAAACCTTTTGTGGTAACTGGATCTGAGCTGTGGGTTAGTCACCCCTGGCTAAAGGAATCACACCCAAAAGCATTAACTTCTATTTTATATTTTCCAAGAAGACTGAGCTATTTAAGTCAACACAACACACCTACCTATGTACTTTCTCTATGTACTTTTTCCTGTATTCTAGAATCAAACTCACTTGGTCCACTCATTGCCTCTCGGCCTAATTTACCTCAAATATTTATTTGTGAGGAATAACATGAAAAAAAAAACATTCTTCTAGGAGGAAAAATGGAACTGAAATGTGGTTAATAAAACAAAATGTTTTGGCTTACAAGAAGAGCTAAAGTGTTTTTTAACAGATTTCCTTCTTGGCGGACTTAAGAGGCAGTTAAGACCTCTGCCTTAACTGGTACATGCTGCTTAAGCAGTAAACACATCATAGAGACTACGAGTTTATGCACGGAGATCTTTCTTTGCTTGTCCCTAGCGTTTTCACCAAATCTTCCATGCCCCTGACAGGCAGCCAATTTTATAAGAGCTGGGAGAGCAGCCTGCTGCACTGTGTGTTTAAAGTTGAGCCTGACTTTTCCGTAAGCTGAAAAACAGGTGAAACCAAACAGCACAACATGCAAAGGCTCGCGGTAGCTAGCTGCTGGAGGCTGGACATTTATTAATTTAAAAGCTATTTTTAAAAATGCTGGAGTATTGGAAAGAGGTTGCAGGATGTGTGGAGGTAGCCTAAGGAAGTTAAGAGTGGCACCTGCTGAGCCCTCTAGTGGTAGCTACTGTATAAAATAAGTACAATTTGCTTCCATCCTTTAGACTAGAAAGTCAGTCATCTCTCTTAGGCCTTCTCTAAACATTTGAGAGATTGTGTCCTGAGTCTTAAGATTTCATACCAGATTTTTTTAGTGATTGTGTAAATATCTACCTTTTATAAGAATATAATGTTGTGATTATTTTTGGGTAATGTTGCTTGCTATATAATTTTATTGAATTGGATAATGTAATATCTCTTAATGGTGTGAAGGAAGGTAAATTAAATAAGGTCCAGCCTTCATGCTATGGGGAAGGGCAGGTTTAGACACTCTGTCTGTTTGTTGAATATAGGGGTGCCTATATTTCAGTTGTTAGGTTGCCGTGTAGCAAAGTTCTGTGTGCTTGGAAAACAAACATTTCCGCAAACAGCTAATGAAACAAAATCTCAGTGTTGAGTTTACTTGTGGCACCTCTAATCTGAGGTGACTCCCTGTCATTTTACTTGCAGCTGATTAGGTGGAAGACTAAATATTATGGACATTATACAAACACAGGTTACTATAATAAACTTTTTGTAACGTTCCTCCCTAACAGCTGAAATCTTTTATGAGAATTTTGGACCAGATTTCCGAGAAGAAGAAACTTTCTTTTCAGTCTTTGCTATATTTTTCCCAGCTGCAACAGGCATTCTAGCGGGTGCAAATATCTCAGGTGATCTTGCGGTGAGTGGTTTTTAGTTTTGTTGCTTATTCAGTCAATTTGAACTGTTCCATAGATTCATAATGTGAATGTTTTCCCCCCTCCCAGGATCCTCAATTAGCCATACCTAAAGGGACCTTGTTGGCCATCTTAATTACTACAGTGGTATACATGGGAATTGCAGTATCTGTAGGTAAATAACTAAGTTTTACTTATTCATTCTTTGTAGACAACTTGATGTTTTGTATACTGCTGTAGTTCTATGTTGAAATTGATGTTTAGAGCTTTAGAGCTGAATTTTTATAGAACCTTCCATTATTTGGCTTTTATTCTTTGAATTGTTACAGGGGCTGGATTAATGATTTTATAGCATTTTGATATTAAAGAAACATCAAAACATGTCAAAATCACAATGGTTTGAGCTCTTCTCTTCTACCATGTTACAGAAACAACCACTTAACAATACAGTTAATTTACAGTGCCTGTATGTTCAGGTCAATCCATCATCAATTATTGTTTCTTACCCAGAGTGCAGTTCACATTACAGATTGATGAGCATAAGTGTTTGTGTGTGTGTGTATATATATATAGAGAGAGAGAGAGAGAGAAGGGGTAGATAGATAGATAGATAGATAGATAGGGAAAGAGGGCTTGGCAGGATAAAAGCGGAACAAGAACTAACCAGAATTCCAGTGACTGGGCAGGTAAACCAGCAACCAGGCATTTAGTGACAGCATTATAAAAATGGATTTTAGATTTTTAAAATGAAATATTGAAGGTATAAGAAAGCCAGTCCAAAGGTGAGGCAGTGAGGAAAATGTGGAATGTCGTTTTATCCAGTAGTGTTGTTCTTTTGTTTCTTGAAGTGATCAACAATGACTGCAAATTGAGCACAGACAGACGTTCAGAGTTCAGAGATTACTTTTCCCAAAGACTGGTTGAATTCCAGCATTTTCACTTTTAACTTCTTTCGCTGTCATCTTGTTCGTGCAGGCTACCTAAAGCTTTTTCGAAAAGTGGTATATCAATGGACTTAAAACATTGTAAAAGTCCAATTCTTTCTACTCATGGCATCATGGCAAATGTATATATTGTCTGCCTTCAAATGTAAAGAGAACTTGTGCTCCAGGGTTTCTTATTATGGGAGAATCTATTTTGAGGACACAACTTCTAGCATTTTACAAAGTGTGGGAAGTCTTCAGCAAGCAAAGATGACAGTCTTAAGATCTGAAAGAAAAAGAGAGAATCAGCTTAAATTCCTGAAACTGGCTTTGAATTTGTTACATTTCAATTAATAGGAGCTATCTTGTGTACATATTTCTGTCGTGTTTTTTGGTCTAAACGCAAATTGGTCTAAACTCTATGGGGACTCAAATTATTATGAAAGTTGTGATTCTCAAGATTCTTCAAGAGTTTGTGGGCTGAGTAAGATATTTATTACCCCTGTGCTTTTCGGCTCTGCTCTAACAACACAACACTATAGGTGAACACATGGCAAAAAGTCCCCTTGTAGGCTTACTTTGAGGGAAAGTAGATACAGGACTGCAGCACCAACATTTATAATCCAAAAAGAATGAATGCCTTTATTGTTCACCTCTTTGTCAACAGTGCTATAGCTCTAAAATTCATTTTGTGACTAGCCATACTTATTTTTACAATAACTTTGAAGGGTAGAAGTAACTTGATTGAAATTTCAATTTCCATTGGAATATGCCAAGGAGAAATATAATGCAGTTTGCTTTAATTGCTTGGAAGGTCACTGCTTCTGTTTCCCTCTGCTCTAGGTGCTTGTGTTGTTCGAGATGCCACTGGGAGCCTTAATGACACATTTGTCGGTGAGCTGACAAACTGTACCACTGCAGCTTGTAAGCTTAACTTTGATTTCTCCTCATGTGAAAAAGAAGGGTGTCCTTATGGGCTAATGAACAACTTCCAGGTGAGCAGTGATATCTAACCCTGAGATGTTCAACTACAATTGCTTAAAATGTTTTATGCACTTTGTGCATGACTTACAAAATATATGTAGATAAATCTTAATATACTGTAAATTAGGGAGCGATGAATCAGTCTTATTTCTAGTCGGTGCCAACCATGTTCATAATACCCTTTTCCATCCTGTTCACATTAAACTGTGAGGGTTTTTTTAAAGCACCTGTATAAAGATTGGTATTTAAGTACATATTTTATTGGAGTACATTTAATTTTAAAATAGGTATTTTCATGCATTTTGTGCTGATAACGGCATCACAACAACTGGAGAAGTGCAATATCAAGTTAATTACATTGCAGTCTGTGAATTAGTTCAAGGTGTGCAAACTAAATCATTTGCAGAGCACATGAAATAGATTAAAAATAGTGTATTTCCCTCACTCCACTTTGTGTTCACGTGCATATGAGAAAGAGAATGTGTGACTAGTGGTCAAAAGTTTGAAATAGCGCATTTCCCCCCTCTAAATAGAAGTCTGAAGTTGCAATCTGTCCACAAGAATAAGAACTTCACATGTGTAAAGTTCATAATCTCTAGATAAAACTGCTAAGTAGGGTCTAGTATGGTTTCAAAATGGAGGGGGTTGAGATTCCTGCATTGCTGGGGTTGGACTAGATGACCCTTGCTCTACAACTCTAGGATTCCTCCTTCTTTTTTCAAAGTGTAAACTATTTTGTATATTTAGAACCATTGTGGCTGGACGACAGGCTTTTGGAATATTTCAGAATGCTTAGTGTAAACACTTAGTGTAAACACGTGTTCCCACTGTCATTTCTGGTCAAACAGAGATCAGAGATGCAGGCTTTTGAAACATATTAAAAATTGCAAAAAAAAGTTTGACAAAGGCAAAAGTAGGAGAGATCATCACTCTTTTAAATTCCCTTTAATTTACTTTGTTGTCAGATTGCATCTGGTCATATTGACTACTTCACCTCTGTTCTAGATAGTCTGAATTTGACTCCTCCTAAGATCAGTGAAAGTCATAGCCATGATAGTCTTTCATATACTTAAGTATAATAGCTCAGTTAAGATAAAGTGCTTAGGCCTTAAAGGGCTTTCATCTACTTACTTGGCTGACGAGTTTACCTTCTGAGATTATGTCACTTTAAATCAAAAGCAGCTGAAGCAGTTATCAGTGACTACTCTAAAACATTAGTGGGTGCTTTGACAGAAAGATACTGTAAAGAAAGAGGCAATTTATTCAGGAGTTGTAGTGCCAGACTTTATTTAAAAACTGGTATTTGTTTAAAAGTCAAAAATCTGGGTTGTCTGCATAGCTGGAGCGTGCCAATCAGATTTTCAGTATTTTTAAAACAGAAGTTGGCTTTCTTCAAAGTTGTCAGTTGTGTGCAGAACAGCAGTACTCGTATTATCAGTATCTTGAATATACACAGTTTCATTGGAAAATAACCCCCAAACTTGCAGCATGACAGTTCTGCAAAAGCACTCCAGTTCAGAGTAATGTACATAACCTACAAAGCATGGCTGCTATGCAGTTCCACCCACCCCCTTTAATGTGAGGCTTGTGCAGAAACTTCATTGAAAGGGAGGAAGTTATGCAGTTGCTCTGATTATTGATCATATTTCCCCCCAAATAACTCATTGGCAGAAGAGATTTCTTCTTCAAAGCCAGTATTTAGCCTGTTGCACTACATTCACTATTTACGAAAAGTAGTAAACAATGACAGAGCTGCCAAAGTTAAGAAATAACTCTCAGATCATTGTTTCTTGCTTTTATTTTAAAGCATCTATGGCTTCTGGTTGCTGTCCAAAGATTTAAAAGCAACATGGTCCCTGCCTTAAGGATTAGAATACAGAACAATAAAAGATGAGGAAGGAACAAGAAATGAGCAAATTCAGGCACTTAACTATTCGTAAAGCAATGTTAGTGCCTTCTCTGAATGCTCTAATAGTTGTCATAGTGTTTGAAAATTGTGCATGCTGTTTCATATTAACACAACGTTGCAACAAAGGTGTTAAGTGTTTGAACTGCCCTTGTTAAAGTTACATTCTTATTCCAGGTAATGAGCATGGTATCAGGATTTGCACCTCTGATATCAGCTGGTATATTTTCCGCCACCCTTTCTTCAGCATTAGCATCTCTTGTCAGCGCACCTAAAATCTTCCAGGTAAGAATTTTGAGTTGTTCGTAGCAAGCCTGATCAAACTTGAATTTTAGATATATATTCAAACATTACTTTTCTAAATCCTAAGGACGTGATGTTTATTCACTGTTTCTCAATATACTGTTTGATTGGTCCCATAGCTAAACTAAGAAATTAAGGCTTTCAAATGTATTCTATTAACACATGTTTTTCAGTCACTGACTGTTTTTCGGATCTTAAGATGTGTAGGCACTCAGTTTCCATATTGAAAACAATTTGATTTAGGCTTGCATAAAGGTGGCGCTGTGGGTTAAACCACAGAGCCTAGGACTTGCCGATCAGAAGGTCAGCGGTTCGAATCCCTGTGACGGGGTGAGCTCCTGTTGCTCGGTCCCTGCTCATGCCAATCTAGCAGTTCGAAAGGACGTCAAAGTGCAAGTAGATAAATAGGTAGCGCTCTGGCGGGAAGGTAAATGGTGTTTCTGTGTGCTGCTCTGGTTCGCCAGAAGCGGCTTAGTCCTGCTGGCCACATGACCTGGAAGCTGTACGCCGGCTCTCTTGGCCAATAAAGCGAGATGAGCGCCGCAACCCCAGAGTCGGCCACAACTGGACCTAATGGTCAGGGGTCCCTTTACCTTTTAAAGGTAACAAAATTGTAGCAATGCTGACTTCAGCTGTTCACCATCTAACTTTTCCCATGGTACCTCACTGAATTAGTGATGTCTGCAGTTACTACACTTTCTACGGTAATTACATTCTTCACATGGCATTGCATTATTCAGATTTGATGCCTCAGTTTATATCTATGTGACCATAGTTTAATTGTTAACATCTTCTTTTTCTTCTTCTAGGCTTTGTGTAAAGACAATATTTATCCTGGCTTCCTGATGTTTGCTAAAGGCTATGGGAAAAATAACGAGCCTTTACGAGGATATCTGCTGACCTTCTTGATTGCTCTTGGATTCATATTAATTGGTTGGTTAATACACCATTTTAAAAAGAGGGATATTTCTCTGTGGTATAAGTTTATCTGGAGCATCTAATACGGTCTATGTTGTCTAATCCCATGTAATAATTATCTGGTTTACTATGAATAGAGGATACATAGCCTGTTTCATGGAGAGGGAATGTACCCCAAACCACTAATGTTGGTGGCTTCTGTTTGGGAAAACTAAGAACATAGGAGCCCTGCTGAATTATCCCTATTGTCCAGCATTGTTTCCTAGAGTGGCCAACATGCTACTATGAAAGGCCACAAGTAAAGCATGAAGGCAGTTAGCCCTGCCCTGCTGTTCTTCCCCAGCAACTGGTGATCAGAGGCATAGTGCCTCTGATTCTGGAAGTAAAATATAGGCATCATTAATAGTAGCCATTAGTAGCCTTATCTTAAATGAATATTTTCTAATCCCTCCCAATGACGGCCGTTGCCATATTTTCTGGAAATGAATTTCCATCGTTTAAGTCATCGCATAATCTTGGAGAGGGACTGCAGAGAGCCCACACTCAAAGGAGCAGTTCTGTTCTTATCACAGCTATTTATTGTAAAATTTAATATAATTCTCCATTTCTTTTCTTTTTTTACAGCTGAACTGAATGTAATCGCTCCCATTATTTCCAATTTCTTCTTGGCTTCCTATGCCTTAATTAATTTCTCTGTATTCCATGCTTCTCTTGCAAAATCTCCAGGTATGAATTTTATATTGCTTCTCTTGATCATTTGAAATCAGTGACGGCAAAAGCATCTTTTAAAAATGCCTTTAATTTATAATTTAAGTAATTGCACAACATGTTGAACTTGATTTTTTTTAAAAAAGTGTAACTGTTCAGCTAACTAGGTTGTGGATAGCAATCTGCATGAAAGCAACTTGAAATTTTACGATATGCACTATGGGTTGGTTTTCCTGCAATGCTAAGCCAAACTATTGCTTAGTGCAAAGACATGAGAACGAAGGTTCCTGGATAGGAGATTGTGGCTGCTGTGCTCCTCCTCTGAACCTCCTTCCACTGCTGTGACCCTGGGCCTGTGGTTTGTCTGATTCAAAGTGGATGTCTGAACTGAAATTCACTGATCTTTGAAAGTGATTGCATGTTCCAGGTAAATAATAGGAGAATAAGGACAGTAGCAGGCCACTGAAGAAGACTAAATATTGAACCATATCTGACCATTACATTTTTAATTTTAATTCAGTTAGTTGAATTCAATTAGTGTACATTTTTAGTTTTAATTCAATTGAATTTAGTTCAGTTTTCATTGGCAGCGGCCTATACCTGATAAAGAAGTGCTTTCCTTACATTCCTTTGAATTGTTCATTTTATCTTACGGAATATTATCTGTATTTATACCATCTATAATTGAGTGTTTTCCCTTAACTCTGTTCCTTTCAACTTGTGTTTTTGCTAAGGATAGTGAAACTTTTCCTTTGGTTGCTCCCTCCAGACAAACCACAAGCGGTAAGCCCCAGGACAAATTTTGGTAGCTGCTCATGGTTTGTCTGGCGCAAGAGTCAAGCTATCACTTAGCTCATGAAACAGTGCTAGAAACTGAGATATGAAAGCTAGGAGCTAAATGGCACCTTCAAGCTAGGTTATGGTCGCAGCAATGGGATGTCTAGGCACGCTTTTTTACAACAAGAATATAAAGCTGAAAATGAACTTCAGCAAAAATCTTAGGTTCATTTTTCACATGGTCTAGTCCTCATCTGAAGACTGCAAAACACACACACACACACACACACACACACAAACCATTCTTCTCCTTCCTGCCCCCTAATATTTTTAAGAGGACCTTAAGAGAGTGGCTGGAAGTGGGGAGGCAGAAAAAGGTCCTCCCTGCCTTTCACACTGCAGTTTTAATCTGAAATCTTAGGTGCACTGCTCTAATGAAATTCCCTGTTGCAAAATCTGCCTGGAACAAAGGGAGTTTCGAATGCTGTCATGAAAGTGTAGCAGTGGGAGGACCCAGAGGTGGCGCTCAGCAGCTGTGATCTCCTCTTCGAAGACACAGATTTAAGCCATGGTTTAGCTTAGTGTAATGTGCAGACCAAGGCAGTGTACCCCTTTTCATATGTTGCTCTATTTTGTTGTTATTTAATCATGTGCATATCATACACACAACCAGAATGTTGGCAACTTGCATGTGTTTATGCTGTTAAAATGCTGGGGGATGTGGGGGTTGTGGACCCACACTGAAGGGGAAGCTTTCTGTTTGTACTCTTAATTTCTGTGTTTGCTTTTTGAATAGGCTGGCGTCCTGCTTTTAAGTACTACAACATGTGGGTGTCTCTAGTTGGAGCAATACTTTGCTGCATAGTGATGTTTGTCATTAACTGGTGGGCAGCACTCCTCACATATGTCATCGTTCTAGGACTCTACATTTATGTAACTTACAAGAAGCCAGGTGGGTGCATGTCTAGGAGACACTAGGCCAATGACTGGATTTATGGTTTAATTCAATGCTGTTTTTAAACATATTCAGTCTACTTCATATACAGTACATGATTCCCCTCTGTTTCCCTTCAGTGCTATTTAACAAAAGAAAATTGACTAGGCTCTGTAAATTGTATTAACTTTGTTTAAAAGGTGACAGGGAAAGTGGTAGATATTCAGAAAGTGTTTGAGCTTGGTGGCCATTTTCCTTAGGAAACCCTAAATATTTGTGTGACAAAAGTGGGAAAGTACAGTGTCCTTGAAAGAAACACTTTGACAAACTAGAAAAGGAATAGCATTAAGAAACCTATTTTGATACCTTAGTCTTTGTTCTGTGGATTCTGACATGAAAGACAGTACTGGTGGTTAGGATTGAGCTGGTGAGAAGGCCTTCTCTGAAGTAAGCAGTCAGGACTCTACCGACTCACCTACTTTTTCATTGCCATTGCATGTCAGCAAGGGAGGTATGGAACAAAAGAGGAAAAAACCACCCTCATATGAATCCCACTATATTCATTTAACAGTTTATTTAGGGTTGTTCTGAAGTTACAGTGCATAGAATGCACTTTCCAAGTTCAGCTTATGATGAATTTAGCCCTTAAAGTGCACCGCTCTGTCCAAAGAGTGTGTGGTGTTCTTCACTGTGTGTCTGTCTCTGTGTGTAAGGGGAGGTTTGTGTGTGTGATGGGAACACTGGGGGCAAGGGAGGAGCAGACAAATCTGCGGTGCTATTGCATGTGTCCACCTGTGATGGCTATCCCTAGATCAAGAGATACATCGAGTGCTTTACAAAAAGAAAAGAAAAAAGTTTTATTTCCCCAATTGGCTTGCATCTTTAAAATTAAAAGAGGAATATGACCTTTCCAAAGGTTATTCTCGTCATTAAAATAAGGGAAGAAGCTAACATGAAGCACTAGACAATATTGGCGGTTTCTGAAATTCCAAGTCTGTACTTCTTATGCAACCCCCATAGGCAACTCTGCATGTCTAGGGGTTTTTAGATGAATTAGTGTTGCTCTCAGAATTTGACCACAAAAAAGGTGGTTAGCACATTCTGAGATAAACATTTTATATGGTTAAAGCTATAGGGTCACTTCAAAAAGTTGTCATGCGAATGCTGAATATTGCATCTGAATTGGCCCTCAGGCAAGTAATAAAAAATAGACAACTTGAATAAGTTGAAGGCTTATTACAAATTCAGAATACAAACAGTTCCTTTAAAGTAGCCCATATTTCCCAAGGCTAACAAATTTCCTCAATAGGGTTTATTTTCAAATATTGCTTGATGTCTTTGTGTGACTTCATAAACTTAATTGCAGTTTTTTAAAACTTTTATAATTAGATGGTGACCTGTCATTGCTTCGGGGGGGGGGGGGCACAAAAATTATTGTACATGCCAAGATCTCAAACATATATAGGAACAGAGAACTTCAGTATTAAAAGTTAATTATGTATGGGTTTTATGAAAGCTCTTATATGATGAACCTCAGGGCTTTGCTATAACGGTACAACGTTTGACTTTACCTCCGAAGGTGCACTGCTCCATTGTCTCCCAAGACAGACAGATACCAACAAGTGCTTCAGTAATAATTAACATTTGATAGGTTATTAATCAGATCCCTTTTCTAAGGCAAGAGACACAGCTGTGACCAGAAGTAGTGTGAGAGAGTGTACAAAATTGATTGATAATTTTCTTGATCTCAAAAGGCTCTATATTAAGATCTTGGGTCTTAAATTTGGTGACTTCAAGCAAGCCTAATGAAGTTTGCCAAATGTTCATAATACATTATATTTGACTCTAAAAACACATTGTCACTAATTGCTAACAAAATACTTTAGGGGGCTTTAGCTACCCTCTCCCATTTTAGGGAATAATATTTCCTCCTAAACACTGCAGCACTGAAACAACTAGTCTTAATCTAGGTAATTTGGATACTCCCTTCCAAACTGCTTGTGATTTTAGCTTAATTGCCAAGGTAGCAGTACAAATAGTGTCACTAAAATGTCACATTTTGTGTTCATTCTGAAATAAGATTGAGGCACAGTTGACCTCTTTTGTCTCAACGAAAAACCATTCTTTTTACAGATGTAAATTGGGGGTCTTCAACTCAAGCCTTGACTTACCTAAATGCATTGCAGCATGCTGTTCGCCTTACTGGTGTGGAAGACCACGTGAAAAACTTCAGGTAAAATCAATAGATGTTTGACAATATGGCTGAACTTTTGAGATGCAAGTATAACTATCAGTGAAACAGTGCAGACTGTTGAAATAGAAGGTTCTGAAAGTGAGGACCAATTTATAGCTCTTGTCTAGTAAGCATGGAAAGTGGTATTCTAATCTGCTTGCACTGTTGCAACAACTTTTCTGGAGGCAGGCTTTGGAGTAGTAACAGGGCAGAAAGAAGCTTGTCTGTAATGTTTGTTCCTTTGAGCTAATGTAATTCAGCATCAATATCATGGCATCTTGAGCTAATTCCCCGATATTTTATGCAGCCAACATTTATTTTTTCCCCCCATTTCATTTGTCTACCGCCCTTCCTCCAAGGATCACAGGGCAATTTACGACAAAAAAATGCAAAAAACCCACATAAGATAGAAACAGAAACAAAAGAAACAACATTGGTATTTAAGTATCTAGCTTATTAACATATGTGATTGGGTTCCTGTAAGAAATGAATGGTAAAGGTAAAGGTACCCCTGCCTGTACGGGCCACTCGTGTCCGACTCTAGGGTTGTGCGCTCATCTCACTTAAGAGGCCGGGGGCCAGCGCTGTCCGGAGACACTTCCGGGTCATGTGGCCAGCGTGACGAAGCTGCTCTGGTGAGCCAGCACCAGCGCAGCACACGGAAACGCCGTTTACCTTCCCGCTATAAAGCGGTACCTATTTATCTACTTGCACTTAGGGGTGCTTTCGAACTGCTAGGTGGGCAGGAGCTGGGACCGAAGACGGGAGCTCACCCCGCCGCGGGGATTCGAACCGCCGAACATACGATCGGCAAGTCCTAGGCACTGAGGTTTTACCCACAGCGCCACCCGCATCCCTGTAGAAATGAATGTACACACCTATTTCTCTCTTTAATCTAAAACCAGGCCACAATGCCTTGTCATGAGTGGTGCTCCAAGCTCACGTCCGGCTTTGCTTCATCTAGTACATGCCTTCACCAAGAATGTAGGATTGATGATCTGCGGTCACATACATATGGTAAGTCTGTGAATAATTACTTTCCTCTTACACCATAGCACTTGGAAAACAATCTATATTTGTGTAATAAGTAGTATGCAAGCATACAGATAAAATGATGTGTCAAGAGGAAAAGCTGAGATTTGCTAGGTTATTGGGGTACGCTTTGGGGAAAGCTATGCCTATAGAAGAGCACTGGATTCATAAAAAAAAAAACCCATAATACAAGAAAATACTTGAAATGTAGAAGTATTAGGTTGGGATATTGTTGATAATGTATTGCCTGCATGTACTGTATTGGCCTGAATATAAGCCACACTCTTTCCTCCCCCCCCCCAAAAAAAAATTCTGACTGAAAAGTTCAAGTGCGGCTTATATTCGGAGCCAAGCACCAGTACCAGCTTAGGGAGCGGGGTGCTGAGCATTGGTGCCCCCATTTTCAGCGTGGTAGTGCCGGGAGGCGGAACGCACCTGCAAATTGAATTTTAAAGGTGCAGCTTATTTGCAGGTGCAGCTTATAGTCGGGCCAATACGGTATGTAAATGTATATATGTATCCGTGGAAGGTGGTGGGTGAATTGCACAAATAATTGATAAGACGTGAATTGGTAGTGCCCCACAAATACCAAAACTTTAAAGTGCTAAATAGGGTCTTTTCTGCAGTAAGCAGCATGAAGATTTAAAATAAAGTGTATCCTCTAATTTGAAAGTAGCAGAACTGAATATTTTTAAAGTTCTGGTTCATTGTCAGGGTACTGATTCTGATACGTTATCTGGCAACTGGTCTAAGCGATAACATTTCATTTGAATTGGCCACACTAAAAGAGCCCATCTATTTTTCTCAGTAAGAAATCCTCACTTAAAGATCTCATCCAAAACTTGCTTCCGTGTCTTTGTAATTGTATGCTCCCCTCCCCACACCTTTTTCATAGGGCCCTCGCAGGCAGGCCATGAAGGAATTGTCAACAGACCTGGCCAGGTACCAGCGGTGGCTTATTAAAAATAAAATGAAAGCCTTTTATGCTCCAGTACATGCAGAAGATTTGAGAGATGGTGCGCAATACCTGATGCAGGTAAATGGTCATATAAAGTGAGGAGTTCTGTGCTGCTTAGTGATCTGCTCCGAGCATTGTATTTTTAGCTGCATTGTACACACCGCAATTTTATAAATGTATATTTCAACTTTGCAAAGTAACAAACTTGTCCAGTGGAGAAAGGTTGTCAGAAATTGATCAAATCCTGGGATTCTAGGTTTGAAAGCAAGGCTATAACATTCCAGGCATTGGGAAGTTTTTTTTAAAAAGTTCCCAATTAGAGATTAGAGACCCTGCCCTCTCTAATCTCTGTAGAAAAGCAGGGCTCTTGCAACCCAGTTCTCTGTTAACCTTTTCCCTGTTTCATTGGAGATAATTCTAAAGGTTTATGACCTTCACAATTCATGGGGTAGAGGTCTTTCATCCTCCCACTGCCATGGAGACCAAGGAGACGTTGTTGGCATTCATTTCTTCCCCGTTGGGAAAAAATGAGAGGGAAACTTCTTTTTTAAAAAAATTGATTGGGGCAGATTGCTGCTCTAACTTTACAGTGGTGCCTCGCGAGACGAAATTAATCCGTTCCGCGAGTCTCTTCGTCTTGCGGTTTTTTCGTCTTGCGAAGCATGGCTATTAGCAGCTTAGCGGCTTAGCGGCTATTAACGGCTTAGCGGCTTAGCAGCTTTAAGAAAAATGAAACAAACTCGCAAGAACTCGCAAGACGTTTCGTCTTGCGAAGCAAGCCCATAGGGAAATTCGTCTTGTGGAACGACTCAAAAAACAGAAAACTCTTTCGTCTAGCGAGTTTTTCGTCTTGCGAGGCATTCGTCTTGGGCATCACTGTACTTCCTCCTCGCTAATGAGTTTAGCAGGGCTTCGGGTAAAGCAGTTAAACCAGCTTCAATTCCCCACCCTTTGCAGATGGTTTGCAACATGAATGCAGTTCTCTATTGGAAAGCAACATAATGGCTTTCACATCAGTAGCAGGCACACGCCCTGTCCAAGGAGATGGGAATTCTGGGTTGATAGCCAGAGAGTTTGATCGCCCAGATCCTAATAGTGTGGGTGCTGTAAGTCAGGAAAAATCACCAACAGTGAGGGTTTGTAATATTCACAAAGGCACGCAGGTTTTGAGTTAGTGCCCTATAGGGAAGAAGGGAACTGTCACCCGAAGAAAAGAATAGGACTATATTTGCTTGCAAAGCCAGTTTTCTTATCTAACCCATCCTGAACCATTTATCTAATGGTAAAGACTACATTCAGATGTTGCCACATCTGTCATAGGATCTCCAACAGGTCTAGATTATTACTATATTATTATATTACTAGATAGGGCAGGAAAATGATGAGCTCTCCTACTCATCTCCCCGTGCTACTTTCATCACTAGAATAGAAAGGAAATTCCCATTTTTCATGTAGTCTACTTTCTTTTTTTACAGACATAGATATAACCTCCCTAAGATTTAAGTAGAGTTTTTTTGTTGTTAGGCTGCAGGTTTGGGACGAATGAAACCAAACACGCTTGTTCTTGGATTTAAGAAAGATTGGCAATTGGCTGACATGAACGATGTCGACACCTACATCAACTTACTACAGTGAGTAGAAGGTTAACCATATACCCCACTGTGAAGATGCAGCTTTCGTAGTCCATTGCATATACCGGTTGTCCTGATTCATGTATCATCAACCTTTTCAGACCCAGAACCCACTTTTAACCCAAACATGCCTTTGGGGACTCATTTCTTTAATCTTTTAATATATATTTGCCTGGTGGTAGTGCTCTTGTTGCGACCCAGGTTGAATCAGGCCACGACTCACTAGTGAGTCCTGACCCACCACTTGATAGTGCCTAGTTTAGCATTATTTTCAGGAAAAATTGTAAGCAGTTATTCCATTTCAGCAAGGACCGAAGCATGCACCCATTTCATGACCACCTTTTACAGCCCAAATCTGGATATGTTACAATACCGTAACATTCTTATTCCAGCTGGGATCACATTGCCATCAAAGCAAAATGGTGCCAAAAGAGATGTTGATTTTGGCAATGGGCAGCCCATGAACAAAGGAAGAGATGGAAGGTGAGGGGTTACTCTAAAAGGGATGCATGCCTGCCAGAATTATTCACATGCAGGTATTCACCGCCATCTTAGCTTAAATTGGTTCATTAATCACTTTGTAGGAACAGCGTGGTCATTTCAGGAGCTGGAATTACCTTTTGAGACTCTTTCTGCCTGATTTTGCTGACCAGAGTACTTGTCCTTACAGCTGAAGTTAATCACTTGATATTTGGAAGTTTATATATTTCCCCAAAATGTGTTTATTCTATTTCAGCGATGCCTTTGACATTCAGTATGGAGTAGTAGTTATCCGTCTGAGGGAAGGTCTGGATATTTCTCACCTTCAGGGGCAAGGTAACCCTTAACACTGTCCATCATGAATTAATCTCTGGTCTTTGGGAGAAATTAGCAAATTATGCCTGGGACAAAAGATTATTGAGTGTCCCATTCCTTCTGATTCTAGCCTCACTTTGTGTTAAGTGCCTGATGAAGTAACAACTGATTACTTCCGTAAGTGCTCCATTAAAGTGTCTGGGGGTGTGTGTTATTAAATAATTTCTAGTCGCCAGGTGAACATCATTCTTTTTCCCATTTACATGCAAGAACAAAATATACTTAAATCCAGTTACATGAACTTGGCTGAGCCAAAGCACAGCTTTAGGTTTGTTTAAAGTTTTGCAAAACTATAGTATATTTTCCCTTGTCCTTGCTTGAACTTATTCCCGAACATTTCTCCTTGTGAGTTGTCTCCCAGCTTGTAAACTCATTTGCAAAAATACTGAATAGTATATTTTTCATATTCACAGAAGAATTATTGTCGTCCCAAGAGAAATCACCAGTAACCAAAGACATTATAGTAAATGTGGACTATAGCAAGAAGACTGAGACAGTAACGTCCAAGCCTGTGAGTGAAAAAGCTCCTATTCATAAAGGTAACATTTTACTTAATGAATTTTTGTTGGCATCAGTGCAAAAATCATAATAGTCCTCCTTTATAAACTTCAAAGTCAGATTTGCAATCCAAAGTCTTCATCATGTGTCACCGCAAGATATTTTAAGCTTGTGGGAGCCTCACTTTAGGGGTCCAACTTTTTTTTGGTGTTTCGGTCACTAGCAAGAATATTGCCATACAACAAGGATGGCCCATTGAAAGACTATCTTACTACTTCATCTCTTTGGCAAGCCATTTTTTGAACTCCAGTGTGTTTGTAAGAAGTGTGCAACACAGCATCTTGGAGCATTGAGGCACAACAGCATACATGTCTTTACTAAGCTAATAGCCATGGGATCAAAGATTAGCCCTTTAGTAGTAAACGTGTACAGAAATTTTGGTCATGGTATTTGAACAATGTTATGTGTTTGACCTTTATTTTTCTAAACTTCTTAGAACTTCTTTTTACCATCAAGTGTTGCAAAGATTTTGTTGAATAATTGCTCTTATAGATGCTTTAAGCACTTCACAAGTGGTGCATCTTGTCTTGAGGAGAAGCTATGGGACTAACTATTGATATCATTCCCATCTCTTCCCCCACCCCAAATATCTGTTAGGGAAATAATGTTTAGATTGCAGCAAACATCTCTATTTTCTAACCCAAACCCTTTTGAGAGTGAAAAGGGATCTTAAATGGAAAAAAATGCTAATAGTGTAGCTACTTTTAATATGTGGTAGAACTTTGTGTGTGTGTTAAATAAAGTGGTATGTTAACATGCTAATCACTTACATTCATGAACACAATTGCTTTGAATTCATTCATTGTTTGGCTTTTCATGCTGCATCCTAAAAAGAACGAAGAGTCCACATTTTTATTAATACTGCAAAATAACCTTTTAATCCCCCCCCTTTAAACCTTATCCAGAAGACGACGACGATGGCAAGACTCCAACGCAGCCACTTTTGAAAAAAGGCAGGCCATTTTTCCATATTTTGTTTTCAATCAATTTTTTTTCATGCTGTAAACATCAGTTTATAATTTCTCACGCTTTGTTTCATGTATCGTAACATTTTACATGTCTTCGGAAGAAGATAATAGTTTGTACTTGCTGGGCTCATGGGAACCTTGTTGGTTGGGTGGGTGGGTTTCTTGGACAAGATAAGTTTTTGGGATGGGGAAAGAATTGGAACGTAATGCTGTCTTAAATATTAGAGTTGTCTTCAGCTACAGCCAGGTGAGAGAGTGCCCATAGATGACTTCTGGTGCATATATATAATGTGATATCTTTAGTTAAATATTGCAAGGTATCCTCACTCTCTTAATGGAGAGCTCCTTTTCAAGGTTCCTGCCAGACAATAGTGTCTTCCTCCTGGGATACCAATAGTTCGGAGGGGCTGAAAAAGGCCAAACTACTCTCCAAGACCACCTTAATCTTCCTTCCCTATTTTCCCAACCGACACATAATATTGTGTGATTCTTGGAGGCTACTGAGCATGTTCATTGGGCTATTTTAATTTTTGGTAGGCAGGTACCTCTTAATTTTTTTATTTTTTAAAAAACCAGTTTGTACTTCTTAATACCTCCGGTATAACGAGCATGGTGACACCTCCTTGTTTCTCAGTGGCTCCAGCCCCCTTGGCAATGAACCACTATTGAGACAAATGATTATATTCACTGCTGAACTTCAGAGCGGTTTGGGAGCTAAGCTGGTGCGGATGGAAAATCTGTCACTCTAGACTTTTTCTAAAAAGGGAAAAATCAATGTACAGGAGCAAAGCTGTGATAACTTTTATTTGGGTGTTTAGGCAGGGATGCCATGTGTTTTCTGCCCTTCCTAGGAGAGCAAATGCTCCTGCGTCAGGTTTCATGAGGTTTGATTTAAGGCAGGCGTGGCTAACCTGTGGCCTTCCAGGTGTTGCAGGACTTTTCTAATCTTCCCTGCCTGTTGGCCATGCTGGATGGGACTGGTAGGAGTTGACATACTAACATCTAAAAGGCCACAGCTTAGCCACCCCTGGTTAAAGGTAGGGAGTGTCCTATCCCATCTCCAGTTGTATTACTTGATGGCTCTACAAATTCATAGTTGTTTTCTCATACGCTAGCATTGCTTGCCTAGCGGATCTTCCCTTCCTCTCTTCTCCTTTGCAGCCTCACATGCATCTTCAAAACCTGCTCCAAAGGGTTGTAAGGGCCGGAGGGGAGAAGAAAGGGATGTCTTGTTGCACAAGCAGAATGCCACTCCCACAACACTGGAAGCAGAAGTAACCCATATTCTGCATTTGAGACAGGAATAAAGTTTTGCCTTTCTTGCTTCCTTTTAAATGCCACTTCTCTATTCTACAGATCCCAAAGGTCCGGCCTTGAACATGGCTGATCAAAAATTGCTTGATGCAAGTTCTCAGTTTCAGAAGAAACAAGGGAAAAATAATATTGACGTATGGTGGCTTTTTGATGATGGGGGTAAGATGGAAGTTCTTTTTAAAATAATAATAATACTGCAACTAAGTAGTGTATAATTTCTGATACCACCAAATCTTAACACGGTACCAAAAGTGAGATTTCTTTATTCATGTAGGCTTGACGCTGTTGATTCCGTATCTTCTGACAACCAAAAAAAAGTGGAAAGACTGCAGGATCAGAGTGTTCATTGGTGGAAAAATAAACAGAATAGATCACGACAGAAGAGCGTAAGTTTCATAAAGTACAATTCTTTTATCATTTGGTAAGTATGAATTTGTTGATTGTTAGTTAGGAGAAATCAGTACTCTTACTTACCAGGCCTAATAATTAGCAATGATTTAAAAACTCAGTCTTATATTTAGCTATATAGCTTATTTTATTATTCCACTTTTAAAATATTAGTTTTTTTCTCCTGTGTTTCTGTTGTGAAACTTATTAAATACTGAAGGTTCTTCAGGCAAATATTTTTAACTTGTTTATGAAAGCTTACAGTGCAGTCATATGCCTCTTTACTCAGAGAGTGGCATTTACTCCCAAGTGTAGGATTGCATCCGAACTTTTTAAATAATCTAGTGATCAGAATTTAGAACCAGCTGATAACCTCTGTAAGCATGCAAACCATTTTAGCTATCTTGACTGTACAGTTTTAATATATACATTTAACTATATTTTAAAAATTGCTTTTAGAATGGCTACACTGCTCAGCAAATTTCGGATAGATTTCTCGGATATCATGGTTCTTGGTGATATCAATACAAAGCCAAAGAAAGAAAAGTAAGTGTGTGTGTGAGAGAGAGAGAGAGACAGAGAGAGAGAGAGAGAGAGAGCGCGAGAGAGAGAGCGCATTCATTTCCTATATTTTTCAAAAAATATTATTGACAATTTACACTAGCAGTTAGCTGCCACCAGCAGCTAGTGTGAGAAACATAATTAAGTTTATAAAAGTAAAAGCCACAACACTTTGTTCACTCGTTTATTGTATTTTTAGATATTTCCACCCAACCCTTCTATTGTTTATGCACTAGGATAGTGTATAATTTTTTAAAAAAGAAATAGGTTAACTTTTTGATGATTTAAGTGGCATTTTTCCTTTGATCTTAGAGTTCTACCCTTGTTCTTTGCCTCCAGTTTTTCTCTCCGCCCCCCCTTTTTGTCTGTGCATCTTTTCTGATCTCTGTATGTGATTTTGTGTGTTGCCGTGAAAGGTTTTATAATAGGTAAACATGTATGCATATGTTTGGTTTAAAGAGTTGCGTTTCTCTTATGCTGTAATTTGAAGAAACATAAATAGTAAAGAAAGTAAAAATGCAGGTGATGAAATAGAAATAAAGAAGCCTTTATAAATAATGAGCATAATTAAGAGTTGTACAGCATTCATGCTCACCAGACTTTTTAAGATTCAGATGGAACTCTTGCCTAATACTCTCCTTTCCTCAAACCCACAGCAATACAAATACTAAGATTTTTCTTTTGCAAATTAAATGGCTTGAGCAATAGTAAAATGTTTCTGCACAAACAGAGCATTTATTCATTCCATTCATTAGTGTGAAGTGATTACTTTAGGGCACAATTCTCTGGTCCCAGGGGCCACAGAATTTTGTGGATTTGTGCCACCTTGTTGCAGTTCCTTCTCCACCATTATTGGTGCAGTGGAGAAGCAAAGCAGCATGTCTGGGTTCCCTGTACATGCCCCTAGAACAGCAAAAAAGGGATGCCAACCTTGGAGCTGACATATTGATATTCCTACCTTCTTTGTAAGAATTGATAAAGCAGCCTTTTAGCACTTCCCAATTCAGCATCCAATCTCTGCAGTTTTATTGAGCATGAGACTCTTAATCTTTGGGTTGTGGGTTCAAGTCCCAGGCTGGGCAAAAGATTCCCGCATGGGATTGGAAAGGGTCCCTTCTAACTCTACAATTTTATGACTCTATGAAAGCCCCAATAAAGTACCCATTTTATAAATCTGAAGAAAATGTTCCTATTCCTCTTTTCAAAAAGTGCCTCACCACACAGCAACTCAGACTGCTTTTATTCAGCTAGAAACTCGAGAATTTAAAAAGCAGCTTGCATTTACGATGGAGTGAAAAAATGAATAAAGGTTTTGCAATATGCTGGTCTGTCTATCCTACTTATATGAATTGAGTCGTGGTGGTAAAAATGCAGCTTCGTAGGAACTCATTGTATTGGCTTTTTTAAAATTCACAAAGGAATCTTTCACTACCTAGGAGATTGCTTTGCTAACATAAAGACATAATATGGCTGTTGCATAAGTTGCATATGGCTTTGGATTCAGTGGCAGCACCTAGTAATGGAAGAGGAGGGAGGGCATTTTTTGCCCCTTGTTGTGTCCTCCTTCCCAAATAACCGGAGGATTTTGGCTGCTTTCTCATTAAAAGCAAAAAAAGCTATTACCCTTGTTAGTTGTACGTATGACAATTTTGTCGCCTTACACAGGCTGTAGGTTTTTGTTTTTTAAAAGTAGTCCCCTGTTCTGCACGGGAAAATTCATTCTCTTGAAACTGAGCGGAATTGTCACAGCATTTTATGATACCGGAGAGGGACCTGCTATCCAAAGGTGGGGAGAGTTTATCAAAAATTTAAAATCCAGTAGGAATGCCCAAGCAGCCATGGTGTTTGCATAAAGCAAACGTGGATCCCAGTCGGTGGTTCTGTTGTGCAGCCTTTAAGTCTGTATTGTGCAGTCTAGCTTGGAATAGAGAAAGCCTTTCCTCCTCCCAGGAAGGGAAGGGGTTGTGATCGGGAGACGATTCCTGCGCTCGGGTGGCGGTTAGGCATTGGAATGTGTTGTTGGTGTTTCGGGGGGCAAGGTGTGGCCATCGCCTTCCCCGGCAATTTTGGGTATTCCGCTAAAGGAATCCTGCGGTCGTGGATCCTGTCCGATGCCCGTGTGGCGGCGGGCCATGGCACGACCCTCGGTGACATCAGGAAGAGAGCCTATAGTTGGATTAGCATCAACAGGCTTCCCCTACTGGTGGTTAACCCCTCCTCAGACTCACCCCTCTACGAGTGGGTGGAGTCTAATGTTCCGTGGTCCAATGCCTAAGCCAATACCTTCTCACATGCTGTAATCAATAAAGTTGTGGCCTTTACCTTACCCATTAACCTTACATTCTGTGTCCACGTGTCTATTCCCCAAGCGGGGATCGGGTCCTCGAATCACAAGTCACATTTATCTTGTTCAATGAATGTAGCATCTTAGTTGCAGGTCTCATTGTACAAATATTTCAGTTAGGAGTCTGAGGACTGATTAACTCCAGCTGTATGTTAAAATAATCTTTAGCATTGCAGCTTTTGAAGAAATGATTGAGCCATTCCGACTTCATGAAGATGATAAAGAGCAAGATGTTGCAGATAAAATGAAAGAAGATGAACCTTGGAGAATCACGGATAATGAAATTGAGCTATACAAAACAAAGGTATTTTTTGTAACTCTCTTTCCACATAGGAATATTTAAACTTCCTATAGTATTCATTTTGAGTATTCATTCCTATAGTATGGATTTTGAGTAGCAACATTGGTAAATCTACTACTTGCTGATCTTCAAAAATTGCTGTTTGGGCTGTTTAAAATGTTCTCATTTTAATTGCAGAGCCAACGCCAGATTAGGTTAAACGAATTACTGAAAGAACATTCAAGCACAGCTAATCTAATTGTTATGTAAGTACTGCTTTCTGTGGTTCTTGGCATCAACACCACTATTTGGGAAAGGTTTTAATAATTTTGGTGCCTATGGAAAGATAATTGGGTTGGCTTGAGGATTGCGCAGAATGGAATTTCACAGACGGGACAGTTCTCCAAGTTATGATGCAGTGGTTGTGCTGCCTGATTAGAACATAGCAACAGACTTTCTGTGAGGCAAATACCTAGCTAGGTTTTCACAAAAATGTCCCCGTGACAGTAATTCTGCTGTAATCATGATAAGTTAGACACCACAAAGTTCTCTTAATAAACGTACATATGAAAACCCTGAATTTCTAGGTTTCCCCCTATAAAGTAGTTACATGGTAGATAAACGAGAGATGCTTGAAAACATTTATGAATGCCTCTGACTTTGGAGTTAAAGGGTCGTTGATGCAGCAGAAATAAGTGGCAGCCATGGTGATGTAGCCAGTGATAACCATTGTTAACCTTAGACTAGACCCGTTGAAACTGATGGACTCATCAGTAGTGGATTGAGTATGACTTAGTTGGATGTCACCCATTGTGTTTGAGAGCATAATGTTGGATTGAGCAGAAACGCCTGTTCTGCAAACCTAGATGTTTTTATTTCCTTTTCCCCTGCAGTTTACAGGGTCACCATCTATACCAGGCATGGCCAAACCAGATGTTTTGAGACTACAACTCCCATCATCCCTAGCTAACTGGACCAGTGGTCAGGGATGATGGGAATTGTAGTCCCAAAACATCTGGAGGGCCAAGTTTGGCCATGCCTGATCTACACTGTTCCAGAAGGTGCCCAAACCTCTGGAATATATTTTTGGAGACAGAGTAGGCAGGAAAGAGGGAGAGGGAGTCAAGCATTGGAAAGGGGTAGCATATTGCTTCAGCTACAGTAGCAGAAAATAGAATAATGGTAGTTTTTGAGGGTTATGGTATTTAGGATTTTGACATGTGTGTAACCTACCTTGGGGTTAGTAGCACTGAATGGTGGGATAGAATTCTTCAAATAATGAAACGATCTAATTCTGTGCATGTTTGTCTGTACGCGTGTGTCTTACTCTCAGATAACTCCACCCAGGATTACAGCCTTGCCTTCAATGTATGCAAAGTTGCTTATCTGACAAATTTGGAAGATAATTCTCCAAACACCGAGTATTGTCTGTTAATGCTACTTCTGCTTCTAATAAGCATTATTTAGCAGCAAAAATCTTTTGGGTAACAGATCGTTTTAAAATTATCTTCTGTAATAAAATATAAACACTGGCTGTCAATCTCAGTAATTTTGAGACATTTTGCATTAACTTATCCGGTTGTGCTGTTAACCTGACAAAATGCCCAGTTTATTCCTCTTTTGGTTATAGGAGTTTGCCAGTAGCACGAAAAAGTGCAGTATCAAGTGCACTATACATGGCGTGGATCGAAGCTCTTTCAAAGGACCTGCCACCAATTCTCCTTGTCCGTGGGAATCATCAGAGTGTTCTTACCTTCTATTCCTAAGCACTACTGCGCAGCATGTAGCTGTGAAGAAATGGTACTTCAGTGCCTAAAGTGGGAGAGACTGAGATGTTTGATTAAAATATTAACATCACACACAGGCAAAAAGTGACTACTCTTTTTCACTGTTCCACTGACTTGAAAGCACACAAGGAAAGTCACTATACTCCTAAAGTTGTGAAAGCTTCAGTTTTCTTCTAATTCTTCTGTAATTTAATCTTGCTTAATGGGGGAAGATTTCTTGCTGGACTGAAGAATGAATAAACAGGTTTTTCTTTGCTACTTGAGCGGCAGCAATAAAAGTGTTTATTTTTGATCAGTGAAAGGATTATAGATTTATAAAAGCCTTTTAGCCTTGAGGTGCCTTCTGAAGTTAACCAAATTTCATCCATATACTCTATTTTGTAAATTTATAAAGAATGTCAGTCTGCCATTGGCTAAAACTTTAGATCAAACTTCTTTTAGTTTAGACTTCCATTTTAATAAAAATGCTGCGTTCTGGTCTTCCATAAAGGTGTTAGTTTTATTGTTGTATGTTTCCTATTGTTTGGAATGGTGTGTTTTGTTTTTAAAGATCTCTGTTGGATCTGAGACAAAGCTAAAAAGTGGAGCAAGTTGGCTGTAATTAAAAAAACAACAAAAAACCAAATTTGTTACGTTGATATCTAGGACTTTGTACTTTTCAATTTGTACCACTGAATAAAGCTAAAGTGTATTGACAGAGGGTCCTCTTAGATTTCATCATATATATATATATATATTTCCTACTGGGCTACTTTGGCTGAAGGTTAGTGGACCAGTCCACACTCTGTAGCTCTACTGTGAAGCTGCAGTTATGTTACATGATGATGTAAATGTCAGGCGCGTTTATGATATGCCACCTAACATGATACTTCAATCTTTCAAGGACCATCTAAATAAAGTTAACAGTTTGTTCACCTGCTTAAATGGACCACATTTTATTAGAGGTGTCCCAAGGGCAATTTATTCAGTTGTCAGAATCTATGTTTAGTCTTGTTAAATACTCAGGTTTGATCCTCTTGACCTTACGTTTTAATTTGTACGTGATGACCTTGTGTATTCAAGAACTGCCAATTTGTGTGCCCTCAATTTGTGTGCGTGTGTGGTTTGACTGCTTTATATTTTTTTACTCGATGAATTGCTTACTGAAGAATCACTTGAGGTTTTATTCACTAGTTTGTAATAGTGCTTATGCCTATTATCTGTTAAGAGTTGCCTCAAACCCTTTCCCAGTCTCTTGGCATTAATATGGGGTAATATGGGCTAGAATGAACACCTGTAATTTGGATATTGAAGATAGAGAATATGAAATATTTTTTACTGTGTAAGATCAGAATAAACGAACAAATTTATTTTGGTAGTCCCAGTTACTGAGACAAGGTGATTCTTGCAGATAGTGATTAGCATTCTAGTAAATTACGACTCTCATTGTCTTTCCAATGTTGTTTGTGTTCTCCCCTTTTCAGAAGTGCAATACAAGTTGGCAGCCAGGTAGAGTAAATCAATGCCAGTACCTAGTTTTCAAAGAAAATTTAAAGTCTTATAATAAGAACAGGATTTTTTTTCCTAAAAAGCATTCCCAATGTGTAATAGCATTGATAATTACAAGTTTGCAGTGCTTATTCGTGTGATGAGGGACATAAAATTATTCATTTAATCTGAACTTTTATTTCCATTGTTTATGTACAGACAGTAGGGCATGAACTTAGTGCTGCTATCGTGAAAAAGTGCACTGGTACACTTATTCAAAATTTTGCTATTCAGGAAAACCATTGCTTGTTATCTGTAAAAGGAACCAAATGAAAAGTCTCTTTGTGTGCTGTGTAAAAAAAATCAAATTTATCTAAATATGCATATATGGATGGGAGCAAAATGTAGTCTGTAAATTAATAAAGGTTACTTCATACATGAGAATTCTCAGTACTTCACCCACACATATCACACTAGACACCAAGACAACAATTGTACAATTTATTCTAACACTCCAATAAACATAATTGCACCTTGTTAGCAAGAGGCAATTTTATGATACATAGCCATTCCAATTTCTAGTTAGTATGAATTGATCTTTTCTTTTTGGCGCCATGTTTTCTTAAGTTCCAATCAGTAATGACTTGAAATAATTGTTTTCCATTGACACTCAGCAATACCATTTCTGTAGCAGAAACTTTATTTTATGAAATTAGGAAGTGTTTAGAAAGTAGCTGAAAAAAATCAATTATTTATTTGTTACGTTTGTATTAGGCTTTCCTTTTTACATAATTTGTTTTATATGCTTTTCTGTTTATTTAAAAATGAACTATGGTCTTAATTTAAGGATTGAGCTTGGTTGGTACTATTCCACAGTTTGAAAATGTCATGTCATATTTTGATAATATTGTACTGTAACTGTCACACACAATGGGTTTTCTAATGTTTTAACAACTTGAGTATTGCAGTTGCTACTCTGTATTGGGGAGGGATCACTGCAATAAATGGGAGTGAATTAACTGTGGTTGCCTAAATCAGCCTATTTTTATTAATAAATTCCTTTCCTCTGGTTTTCAATACTCTTTATTTGAGCCCCACCTAACATGTAACATGCCAGGAAGACCTAAACACTACAAGTTTTTGATATTTCATGCACTGTTTTAAAAAGTGCTTCTGTAACCTGTAGATGAAAAAAAGGTTAAGTAGCATGGCAAAAATCACTATTAAAACGAATGTCCAGTGTTGCATTCGACTGTCCAATAACAGGGTGGGGTGGAGCTATAGAAATAATCTCATCTTGCACGTTTAGAAATATGAATTTAAAAAATAGAGTTTCAAGGTCAATATAGCTCCAGAGCTTAGGGCGAGGAAACATGTTGAGAGACAGCTCAAATATGCAAGTGGAGAAAAACTCCGTTGGATACAATCAGACACTGGTGAGGGCTCATCATCGAGCCTATTTAGCGGCAATGAAGGCAGCAATGAAAGCATACTTTGCTGCCTCCATTGCATCCTCATTGTGCCATCCAGCAGAGCTTTTCCAGGTAGCATGGGGCTTCTTACAGTCTGGACCATTGGGATGTGGGTAGCTCTGTGGTCTAAACCCGAGCCTCGGGTTTGCGAATCGGAAAATCTACAATTCAAATTCCCGTGATGGTGTGAGCTCCCATTGCTCTGTCCCAGCGCCTGCCGACCTAGCAGTTTGAAAGCACACCAGCGCAAGTAGATAAATAGGTACTGCTGCAGCAGGAAAGTAAACGGTGTTTCCATGCGCTCTGGCTTCCGTCACGGAGTCCCGTTGCACCAGAAGCAGTTTAGTCATGCTGGCCACATGACCTGGAAAGCTGCCTGCGCACAAACGTGGGCTCCCTCTGATTGAAAAGCAAGATGAGCACCACAACCCCATAGGCGCCTTTGACTGGACTTAACCGTCCAGGGGTCTTTTACCTTACCTACAGTCTGGACCAAAGGAGGTGGTAGAACTGACAGCAGCTCACTATGACTTGTTTGCAAAGCAATTTGAGGACAAAATCACTTGCATCCACTGGGATCTTGACTTGGCTATTGCAGCAGATTAATCTCAAGGGTGCCCAAAGCACTATCTACAGTAATACTTCCACAAACGTCTGCCTTGTCTAGCATTCATTCTGGTGAACGTCTGCGGCAAACCTGGAAGTACCAGAACAGGTTACTTCCGGGTTTGCCGCTCGCGCATGCACTAAATTGTGCTTTGCGCATGCGCAGACGTGGCTCTTTGCCCTGTGTCTTTTTCGGCTAGCAGCCGGGGCTCTGGAACGGATCCCGGCTGCAAAACGAGGTACGACTGTAGTCCTGTTGTATTGGATGAGTTTCAGTAAGTAAGGCTTGAGGATGTAGACAAAGAGCTTGGATCAGTCAGGGTGACCACTTTGCCTTGGACCCTTGCCCCTCTTGGCTGATTAAAAAACCAGCAGCGAGGAGACAGCTGGCTGGGCCATGCAGGTGATTAATGCCTCCTTGTGAGAGTGGGTGGTTGGACCCTGCCTGCTTGAAGAAGGCAGTGGTAAAACAACACCAAGAAATTCTCCATGGATTCAGAATGCCTAAGTAATTACCAGCCAGCCCCGCCTTGGGCAAAGTTCTTGAGTGGGTGGTCGCAGACCTGAACCAGGCACTCTTGGAAGAAACTGATTTTGTAGATATTTCCATCAAGAGTTTAGGCCTGGTTCACTACACTGGATGGATGGGAAGTTGCCTGATCTTGATGGGGTTATACTCCCTCTGAAGGAACAGGAGAACTTTTGGATCCTTTGCTGTGGCTTGAGACTCAGGTGGCCTCAGTGGCGCAGAGTTCCCAGCTGCACCCCTATCTGGACAGGGATAGTTAATTTCTGTTGCCTATGCTCTGGTAACCTCTAGGTTAAATTACTGCAACATGTTATACATGGGGCTGCCTCTGAAGTCGGTTCAGAAACTTCAGCTGGGGCAGAATTTGGTGGCTAGGTTTCTCACTGGAGCAAGATGGTTTGAGAATATCACACCAATCCTGCCCGACTGCAGTGGTTGCAAATCAGTTTCTGGGCCTGATTCAAAGTGCTGCTTTTGAGCTATAAAGCCCAAAATGGCTCAGGATACCTTAAGGACCACCTCTCCCCATATAAACTGACCCAGACCCCGTGATCATCATCCGAGTCCTTTTTGTGCAGCCTCTGCGAGAGGAGGGTGGCAACATGAGAATGGGTCTTTTCTGTGTTGGCTCCCCGTTTATCAAATGCTCTTCACGGGAACTCCACATGGAAGCTTCCACTGGGTTTGGGAATCAGAGGCTCACCTGGCGCCTTTATTACATATCTTTACACGCCAGGCAAAAACATTTCAACCAGGTGTTCAGCTGATTAACATTCTATGGCTTTTTAAATGTGTTTGTGGGAGACTGGGTTATTGGTTTGTTTTATTGTGTATTTTGTACTCCCATTTTGTATTTTTCTGTTGTGATCTTTGGCTGAAGGGTATACAAGTTTAATACATAATAATAATAATCAGTAGTAGTATTCTGGATAAGCCAAGGGCATTTATAAGCCTAGTCCATGTCTTGGGTTGTGTAAAGTTAATCAGAAATTAACCCCATTCAGGAACACACTCCCCATTCCAAAATTTGGACACCTCAAGTCACTATCAGATGACCCTGGGGGAATATCGGATGACCCTGGAGGAATATCACAGGTAGGACAAAAAGAAAATAGGCATCACTTCTTTGTTCCTAGGATTTACTAACTGAAGGGGTACTTCCTAATGCAGGTGTCATTTCTGCATATGGATTCTTACTGGTATTTCCCCAAATAAATTGTTTTAACATCCAGTTATGCCAATAACCATATTTTCAGGTAGCAATAAACCTTATAAGCTGTGAATGAAATGCGTGGTGGGGTTTTGCTTAATATCCCAAAAGCTTTTTGCATTGGGTAACACAGATTCTCTCAAGTGCTTATCTAGGCAAATTCTCTATGCTGTTAATAACTAATAAAGAGATTTAATCCGCTGTCTAAATTGCACTTTAAAGAGTCAGCACCTATAGTCAATTTTGTATATATTTGTGTGTATATAAAGTTAGGATTTTTCCTCTTGTCCAGTGAGCACTGCTGGATACTTGCACTGGACCTCTTTCTCTACATTAGATAACTGTATCTAATCTGTCTGCTATTTATTTGCTTATAGAAAAACCAATCCAAATACATACCATGGGTAAGCGCGGTATTGTTCTCCAAACAATTTCCCAAGCCTCTGTTCCCCATCCCCTTCTAACTATTTACCAGTACATGAGAAGACCTTCCCTTTTAACCGCATGACAACTAAGGCTTCATGGGAATCTTTGCCAAGGGACTTAAATAACATTTTTAAGCCTCTCCACACTTTGTTTTGTTTACAACCAAAGACCACAAACAAAGCCCCATTTAGAACTCAGTAATGGAGCATGCATTAAAATGCAAGCCAAATGAATATAGCCATTCATTTCACTACAGTTAGCGAAAAGGACAATATTTCAGATGAAACAGGAAGTTTGTTGAACATCTATCAAATGGTCTCTACACCAATTAAGTAGATAAGATCTGTCTTATCAGTAGCTACAATAAAGAAAGCTGCTTTTAAAGATGACACCACCCGTAAGCCATGCCGGCTTAGCAAAAAGCCACAAGATGCTATTTGCAAAGCGTAATAATTGCTCTGGTTTACCTTTTCCCTTTGGAGGCAGTGCAGCTGCATGGGAGAAAGATGGCTGGTCTCTTCCTCTTAGGAAATGACCTAATAGCAATTCTGAGGCCCAGTAGGTTTGGTAAAGAAAGTGTAAATGGTTCTCTTGGCAAGTTGAAGGTTGATATTTGGTAGTGGGAAACCTCTGGCACCTAGTGCAGTGTGAAAAGAAAGCAGCTGTTTGAAATAATTGGCTTTTCTCCTAAGAAGCTGGTGTCTCTCAGGTGGTTAAAGAACACAGCTGAAACCTGACTACATTATTGGAGAGAGAGAAAGGCAGCTGTGACTCCCTTTTCCACACAAAAAGTAATTTCCTCTTCTCACAAGGTGTGCCATTTGAATGGGACAGAATGACTGTACTTAGGCCCTGTTTTTTCCCAGAGAAAAAGAAAATGGAAGAAAAAGGCAGTTCTTCTGTGTCCCTCTCTCCTGAGCAAGCAACTCTCCCTGCTTATGAAGTGCAGGATAGGAGAGATTAATGGCCGCCCTGAGGCGGGTTTTTACCCCCCCAGGTAAAAGCAAAATGGAAGAGAGGTGTGGCAGTGTTGTTTTTTGTGAGTAAGCCACGCCACTGATGAGGGGCAGGATCGGAGCGCGGCAAGGACTGGATGGCATCCTTGAGGCCTGGTCTTGAGGTAAGAACAAAATGGAGAGGGGTGGCAACTTCCAGGTTCCCTCGTCTCTTGAGGCGGCTGCCGCTCCTCCCTCTCTCAAAATAAAAAGTGGGGCTGTTACTCTCTGTTTGACAATGGGATAAGAAAGGAAAAGGGCATTCATTTGGTAAGCTGTCTTTTGTTGCAGTTAGCTTGCAACTTGTACGCAGGGTTTTTTTGCCGCCGGAACTCTCCGGAACTCAGTTTCGGTACCACAATGGTGGGCACCATTGCCCTTCTAAGAGAACAAGGCAGGCAGGTGTTCATCGTGAGGTGTTTGATTTTTGGCAAGTTTCCTAAAAAATCTTCACTTTTCGAGATTTTGCAAGCTTAACAACTTTGCCAGAAGCAGCTCAGTTGTCTCTGAATTTGAAATGTGGCATAACCCTAACCCTGTACTTTCCAAAATAACAGAAAAGGCACAAGGCTGGTGATAATTTTATTCCTCTTAGCCTCTGCCTTCCTGCTTATGTAGTTCTCCCTGTACCCACCATTATGAATGGCAGAAGTGCAAAGAAATTGTATCGCCAGTACACTGTCCTCAGCATTAGAAAATAGAACCAGAGACGGAAAGTAGTATGGAGGCAGGAGTTTGACAGAATATCAGTAAAACATTATTAATTTGCAGGTCATTGAGTGCCACCTTGTGGCCGGATAGAATATTCTAGAAGGGAAAGGCTATTAAAGAAAT